TGAGTTGCTTTTGTCCACAAAATAAGTATTGCATTGCATTCGGCCCAGAAGTCTGGGTTTTGTACTCACACTCACCCCAAAAATCTGGGTTTTTTTCACTTATACTCATCCCAAAAGTCACTATTTTTATTGCACATACACCTGTCCCAAAAAATCTAATTTTTTTTTTTTTGGCACATACACCTGCTGTCCCCCATCAAAGGACCACCCCTCCCATCACTTCACATCTCCATGGAAACAGACCCAGGATGATGCATTTGGGTCCCCCCACATTTTTACGAAATTCAATATTTGAAAGTTCATATTTGCTCTTTTCCCCTTTCTCCCCCCTTTCTTCCCATTTCCTCCTTTTTTCCTTTTTTCCCCATTTCCCCCTCCTTTTTCCCCCCTTTTCCTCTTTTTTTCTTTTTATCCTTTTTTCTCTTTTCCTTTTTTCTCCTTCCCCCATTTTTTCCATTTTCCCTTTTCCCCCTTATTTCTTTTCTTCCCTATTTCCCTTGTTTATCTTGATCCATTTCCCCTTTTCCCTTTTTACCTCCAAATCCCCTTTTTTTCTCTCCTTTTCCCCTTTTTTCCCTTTTCTCCCTTTCCTCCCCCTTTTTCCTTTTTTCCTTTTTACCCCCAAATCCCCTCTTTTTCTCTACTTTTCACCTTTTCCCTTTCTCCCTTTTACCGTTTTCTCCCTTTTTTCTCCCTCTTTCCTTTTTCCCTTTTTACCCCCAAATCCCCTCTTTTTTCTCCTATCCCTCCTTTTCCCCTTCTCCCTTTTTCTCTTTCCTCCTCCCTTCTCCCTCTTTTTCCCTCTTTTTTTTCCCCCCAAATCCCCTCAGAAACAGTCAAATTCAGCTGCTACCAGGAACAAAACCAGGGGTTGGGGGGATCTGAGGAACTTCCAGATGTAACTTTCATATTTTTGGCTCTTTTCTGTGAAAAAATATATTTATGTGTATATATATTTAACCTTACCTGCCTCTGATTTTTATCCGGCCCCAAAAAGTTCCTTTTTGTCCTTCAAATCCTTGATGGAAATACCGAGAGCGACCCTGGGGCAGCTGGCTCCTGCTCCTCCCTTTATTATATTTTGCCGAAAAGAGGGGGAAAAAAATGACAAATACAGACGGCCCCAGGGGACCGACCCACCCAGAGCTTTGACATCATTTTTGGCAAGAAAAAAAGGTGAAAACAGGGAGGGAAACATTGTTTTGATTAAAGCCAGGCCAGCTGGGGGTTGATGCAAATGGCAAAAAAAAAAAAAAAAAAAAAAAAAAAAAAAGTCTGGATTGCTAAATAAGGATTTTTTTTTTTTTTTTTCTGGGAAGGTTGGAATTACGCCAGAATTACAAGTGGGGGCGAGGGGTATGAAATGGGTGGGACTCTTTTTTTACAGAAATGGGGTGCATTAATGGGCAAAAAAAATTTTAAAAATTGGAAAAATGGGAGTGGGGTGAGGCAGTGGGGTTTTTTTTTGAAAAAAACACAGTTTTGGGGGACAACGAATAGGGCCAAAGTGGGGGGGGGGGGGGGGGGGGGGGAAGTTGGGCGGGGAGCGTGTGTCATGTCAGAGCGTGTTGCGGGTGCGATGTTTTTGGGGGTGTTTGTGCCAAGTTGTGTGGGTCATGTCGTGTTGTGGGGGTGACATTTTGGGGGGGTTGTGGGCAATGTTGTGTGTCACGTGTTGTGTGGGTGTGTGTTGCGAGTCCATTATTTTTGGGGGTGTTTGTGCTAAATTGTGTGTCGTGCACTCCATGTGCGTGTTCTGTGCGTGACAGGGTGTCAGTGCATGTCGCGTGTGGGCTGTCATGTCAGAGCATGTTGCAGGGGGTGTTTTTGGGGGGGCGTTTGTGCCAAGTTGTGTGTTGTGTCATGTCGGAGCGTGTGGTGGGTACAATATTTTGAAGCCCGTGTGCAAAGTTGTGCGCGCTGTGTGCATGCGTGTTGTGGGTCCCGTGATTCTGGGGTTGTTTGTGCCAAGTTGTGTGTTGTGTGTTCTGTGCGGTGTGCGTTGTGACGTGTCAGAGCGTGTCGTGGGGGGTTGTGCGTGTTGAGATGTGTCAGAGCGTGTTGCGGGTGCAACACTTTTGGGGCGTTTGTGCTAAGTTGTGTGTGTCGTGTCGTGTCGTGTCAGAGCATGTTGTGGGGGCAACAATTTGGGGGGCTGTGGGCAAAGTTGCGTGTCACGTGTGTGTTGTGCGCATGTGTGTTGTGGGTCCAATGTTTTTGGGGGTGTTCATGCCAAGTTGTATGTTGTGTGTTCTGTGCATGTGCGTTGTGACGTGTCAGAGTGTGTTGCGGGTGCGATGTTTTTGGGCGTGTTTGTGCCAAGTTGTGTGTGTCGTGTTGTGTCGGAGCATGTTGTGGGGGCGACATTTTGGGGGGCTCTGTGCAAAGTTGCGTGTCACGTGTGTGTTGTGGGTCCAATGTTTTTGGGGGTGTTTGTGCCAAGTTGTGTGTGTTGTGTCGTGTTGTGTTGCAGCATGTTGTGGGGGCCACATTTTGGGGGGTGTGTGTGCAAAGTTGCGTGTCGTGTGTGTGTTGTGCATGTGTGTGTTGTGGGTCCAATGTTTTTGGGGGTGTTTGTGCCAAGTTGTATGTTGTGTGTTCTGTGCGTGGGCGTTGTGACGTCTCAGAGCGTGTTGCGGGTGCGATGGTTTTGGGGGTTTTTGTTTCAAGTTGTGTGTCATGTTCCATATGTTGCGTGTGTGTGTGGAGGGGTGTGTTACATGTGCTGTGGGTCATGTGTGCATTACGGGGCATTTGTTGTCTGTTGCGTGCGAGTGGTGTGTTGTGGGTGTGGAGTGTTGTGGCTGTGGTGGTTTTGTGCAGCACCACGCGTGTTCTGTGTCCAGTGCGCACGCCGTGCGTGCGTTGCGTTGTGTGCAAGCGTGTTGTGTGTCTGCACGCACACCTCGGGGTGGGGGGTGTTGTGTGTAGGCGTGTTGTGCATTGGCGTGTTGTGTGCACCTGGTGTGTGTTGAGCGTGGTGTCCCGTTGCACGCATGTGTCGTGTTGTGCGCACACGTGTTGCACACACCTTCTGCGTGTTGAGCGTTGCACTGCACGCACGAGTTGCGTGTCACCCGCGTGTGTGCGCTCCTGGCCTGATGGCTGGCTTGTGTTGCACACGTGTGGCGTTGCACGCGTGTGTTGTGTGTTGTGCACGTGTGTGCACACCTAGTCTGTTGGCTGCCCCTGTCGTGTTGCACACACGTTGTGAGACGTGCAAATGTGTGCTGGGCACGCCTAGGGGCAGTGTTGCACCGGTGTTTGTGTGTCGTGCACGTGTGCACACCTCCTGTGTGTCGACTGCTGTGTCGCACACACGTCCTGTTGCACGTGTGTGCTGTGTACATGTGTGCGCACTCGCTGTGTGTTGTGTTGTGCTGCACCGCGGCGCGTTGTGCACACGAGCGTGTCCTGTGCACACGGGTTGTGCTGTGCACGCTGGCGTGTTCTGCCCGTGCCGAGTCATGAGCACGTGTGTCATTCACGTGTTGCATGCTGTGCCCACCGGTGTGTTGCGTGTTGCGTGTTTGTGCTCATTTCCATGCGCAAAACCACTTTCTCTTTAGGGAATAAAATTCCTCTTTAAGGAAAAAAAAAAAAATCTCAATTTGTGGTTTTTTAGGTGATTTTTTTCCCGTCAAAGTTGGATTTTTCGCCAAAATTAGTCACTTGGGCTCTTGGTACAATCCTGACCTCACATCCCTGCAGGAAAATGCCCATAAACAGGGAAAATCCAGGATTATTACAGATAAAATGAGCCCAGAGCATTTGGAAATATTTTTTTGGCATTTTCGGCAAAAAAGGAGGGAAAAAAAAAAAAAAAAAGTTGCATGACAGAGAGTACAAGAAATCATTAATTTGTGCACAGTGTGCAAAAAATCATAAATTTGTGCTTGTAGAGGGCAAAAAAAAAAGATAAATTTATGCACACAGAAGGTAAAAATTATAACTTTGTGCACATAGTGCAAAGAAAATCAAAATCATACAGAGTGAAAAATCATAAATGTTTGCACGTAGAATGCAACAAAGTCAAATTCATGCACACACACACAAAAATAAATTTGTGCACACAGAGGGCAAAAAATAATAAATTTGGACAAAGAAAGTAAAAAATCATAAGTTTGTGCATGCAGGATGCAAAAAAATCTTAAATTTGTACACCTAGAGTGAAAAAATCTAAAGCTCACACACACAGAAGGGCAAAGAAATCATAAATATGAGTGAAAAAAATAATAAATGCCTCCACAGACAGCAATAAATCATAAATTCATGCACACAGGCATGAAAAAAATCATACATGCATGCAGAGGGGCATAAAAAATCATACATTCGTGGCCATAGAGAGCAAAAACCCACAAATTTATGAAGACACAAGCAAAAAAAATCATGCATTTATTCTCACAGAAGGCAGAAAGTCATAAATGCATGCATAGTGTATAAAAAAAAATGTAAATTCATGTGCACTGATGGCGATAAAACACAAATTTATGTACAGACACAAAAAGCTCCTATATTTGTGTATGCAGAGGGCAAAAAAATTATAAATTTTTGCACGTAGAGTGCGAAAAGCCATAATTTAATGCACAAAGAGGCCAAAAAGTGATGAATTCTGGCACATCTTGTCTAAAACGTGTGAGAAATGAAGAAGACGCGGGAGCACGATGTCTCAGCTGCGGTTTTATTGGTCTGGTGGAGGTTGGCACATCCCGCTGGGTGACCTTGACCTACGTGTGTGACGGGGCAACCGGGACGGGGACAACTGGGATGGGGACAACGGGGACGGGGTTGGTTCTTCTGCTCCAGGCACCCTGATTTATCTGCCAGAAGAAACCAAGGACTCAAGAGAAGGAAACATTTTTCCAAGCAATTCTCAATTCTCCCTTTTTTTCCTCTAGGTTTTTCACCCCCAAAACTCAACTTACAACCAGCAGTCGTTGGCGGCCTTGGGCACCTCAGTGGGGACCCCCGTCACCTTGAAGTCATCCACCTGGAAGACCCAACGCCCCGGGACGTTGACGTTGGAGGTCATGGTGATGTTGATGATGGCTTCGGTCTGGGACCCGGGGATGTTGTAGAAGTTGGTGTCATCTCCGCTGTTGAAGCCGGCCTGAAAATGGGGCCAAAATGGAGGATTTGGAGGGTTAACCTCACCCAGGGTGTGGGGCAACCTCCTCCCGGTGGTGGGGGTGTCTCCAGAAAAACGTTACGGGCCAACCTCCGGTCCTCAGTCAACCTGGCATTGTCCTCCCCAGAAATGTTATGGGCCTGTCCACAACCTTCATCATTGTTATCCCCAGCAGATGTTACGGGACGACCTTCTACCATGAGCAAATGTGGTGTTTTCCCCCCAAAAACCATTGTGGGTCGACCTCCAAACTTCATCATCGTTGTTCCCGGAAGATGGGATGGGACAACTTCCTACCGTGAGTGAACCTGGTGTTTTCCCCCAAAAAATGTTGCGGGCCACCATCCTACCATTGGCGCTGTTGTCTCCCCACAATGGTTCAAGCCAACTTCCAGTCTTGGATGAACCGGGTATTGTCCCCCCAAAAATCTCATGGGCCAACCTATCTTTGGTATCACCTTCTACAAAAAATATCATGGGCCCAAGTCCTACCTTCAGTGTTGTTTTCCCCCCAAAACGTTGTGGGCCAAAGTCCTACCTTCGGCAAATCTTGGGTTTTCCCCTCAAAAAATATTGCTGGGCAATTTCTCCCCTCCCTTCCTCCCATTTCCCTCAGGTTTTTCCTTCAGCCCCACGACGTACATGGGCTGGGGTGCCTCCGAGACCTGTTTCGGGGTCACCGTCGCTCGCCGTCCCCGTAGTCCACTGGATATCCCAATAGTTGAGGATGATGAAGGACGTCTTGGTGTTGGTGGTCAGGATGGCTTGGAAGGTGTTGCCCTGAAAAAAGGAAGGGGGAGATGATACCGTCAGGGGTGGGATGAGCAGGTAGGGGTGGGATTTAGCCCTCAGGGCTGCACGCGGGTGCAGATTCCTCCCCCAGAGCTGTGCAAGGAAGCCATCTTGGTGACACATGGCCCATCCAAACTGGTCTTTTGGTGTCTACCTTCAGATGAGCCCTTTTGGTGCTCTACCACAACCTCTTTCTCTGCACGAGGTGGCCAGAGGAAGAGTGTAGTAGACAAGCTGGATTTCCACACAGTAAAAAAATACCAATAAAATTAATCAGGGAGTAAAGGTTTGGATGTGGCACCTTCGTGTCAGCACCTAGGGATAGTTGAGGAGCTCTATGGGGTTTTGCGAACCCATCCAGGGCTGGCAGGGGGGATGCTCACCTCAAATGTCATGACGGCGCATGAATGGGTGGCAAAGACCAATAGATGGGTCGTGAAGGCCAACGAATGAGTCGTGAAGGCCGAGAATGGAATGTGAAGGCCAAGGAGGAGGTCACGAAGGCCATCCAATAGAGCGTCAGGCCAACAAACGGGTCATGAGAGCAGCAGATAGGTTGCAAAAGCCAATGAGTGGGTTGCAAAGGTCAACGAAGGGAACGTAAAGCCAACAAAAGGGTTGTGGGTCCAACAGGTGATGATGGATTTGAGGCCCCGTGATTTGCTTTGCTCTCCAAAACACATTTGCCTGTGGCCACGGGCTCGTCTCTGCACCGAGTCAGGGTGGGATAAATCAGTTTTCACGTGTGTGACCTTATCTGGCCTCCAAGTCATGGCTGTGGACCTTACCTTATTGGAGGTAGAGCCGTAGTAGGCCACGTGGTCCCAGGTGGCCACGAAAGCCCATGTGGCCGTGTAGGGAATATCGGGGAAATATTTGTTGATGCTTTTGGTGATGCGTGCCAGCAGCATCGGGTCGGTGGTCTCTCGGTAGAAGACGTCCCCTCCCAGAACATTGTTCACGTCCCCCCAGTACGGGGCCACGAAGGAGCGTCCATCAGCCAGGGGGAAGGGGTCGGGGGTGTATTGGCGGACTGGGGTGTCGAAGGAAATCACACCGTTGTTGTTCACCTACAAAAGATGCCAGGTCAATGCCAAGGTGGTGGTGGTGGCAACTTAGGTTGGTTTTCAACGCCTTGACTCGGCTGTGGTAGCCTGGAGACGGACACGAGACCTAGATGGGGTCTTACCACCAACTTCTGCGTCTCTACGACCATATTGGAGATGTTTAGGTCACAGTTGCATCTACAGCTCCATCAAAATGAGGGGGGTGGTGGGATATAACACCCTAAATTTGGCCACAGACCTCCCACCCACTGCTCCAGAAGGGTGTAGATCTCCTCCCAAGACCTACCAACCACACGAGGATGCTTGGATGCCCCCCCCCAAAAAACCCTCATATTAAGGTGACCAGGTCAATCCCATGGACAGGTAGATTTTGTTGGGGGGGCAAGTGCCAAAATGGACTGGGAAAGGGAGCCAAGAAAAAAAGGTGGGAAATTGGAAAAATGGAGAGACACGCAAGGGCGACGTCGAATTTTGGCTCACGTACGTAAAGGCTTTGGTACTCTTTGCTGTAGAAGGTGAAGGGCACAGTGAGGGAGACCTTCTTCGAAGTCCCATCATCGAGTTTGGGGTTCTTATGGTCGCCCTGGTCCGGACCATAGGGGTAGAGCAAGGATCCTGCAGGAAGGAAGAGGCTGAGGTATTGGGGAACCCCCCCCTCCCAGCCCCTCCCAACTTCATGCGTTTTGGGGTGAAGCCCGCCAGATTTGGGATTCCCGAGGTTAAATGGGACCTGTGCTCCAGCTTCCCGAAAATGGAGTTGCTTTCTCGTGGGCGTTCCAGCAGCTTGGGGTGAAACTGGGGCTGAAGGGAACTGCCCCACGGGAATCATGGGGGGGGACACGCAGATTTGGGAGCAAACAGGGCAAAAATAGAACATCTGGTTTCCGCATACCCCAAAATGTAGCTGGGAGGAAGCTCTGCTGCCTTCCCACTTCCCAAACTAAAGCAGGAACAACCCCGTTTTGGGTGGAAATACCGTCTATTAACACAACACACACACACCACACGCCCAAATACCCACCTTCTTCTTGCGCTGGTTGGACATTCATCACAGCTCCTGGGGAAGAGACGGGGAGGGGAAATATTAACCTGGGAGCAACCATCACCCAGGACATTTTCATCCAGCAGCATTCTCAGAAGATAATTGTTTGGTTTTTGTTGTTTTTTTTTTGTTTTGTTGTTTTTTTTTTTTTTAACCTACCTAACATCAGGAGTAGGGAAGTGAAGAAGGGCTTCATCCCACCAAAATCATAAAAAAACCTGCAAAAATTAAAAAACGAAACAAATGGATGCTCTGGAGGTGAAAAGTTTCCCTTTAAAATACCAGCCATCCTCTTTCCCTGCCGTTTTTTTTTCCCCATTGCGTGGTGGATATGGATTATTTTGCCCGTTTTTTTAAAAATAATTGCATGACTAGGCAAGCTTTTATTTTTCTTACTGACCGAGAGTTGAGAAAAAACAGGTTTCCTGAGTGTATTTTAACCCTTTAGTCATCCCTTTTTGCACCACCCTAAGGACTGAGCCCAGGGGTCCTGCTTATGAGAATCACCCACCGGAGCAAGGCTGGGTATAAATTGGAGGAGTTTTGGTGAAAAACAAAACAACATTAAAAAACCCCCAAACCTAACACCTGGGTGTTTTCCTGGCTGGGAAAAGAGAAACTGAGGCAGGATGGAGAATGCCCAATGGGAATGGGGTGATCTGATCAGCACCCATGGGCGTATTTTGCAAAACAAACTCCAGCTCCAGAGCAGCCCAACGGCACCGGGTGCTTTTTGGGGAGTGTTTCCGCTCAATTTGTGCAGGTTGAAGCCCTTTGGAGAGAGAGGGCAGCTGCTGGAATTCGTGCGATTTCAGTGATTTAAAGAGAGAGGGTTTAAGGGAGTGATGGACGCTTGCAGTGGAAATAAAATCTCTTACCTCGGGATCTGGCCGCGTCCTGATTTCCCGAGGGAAAAGCGAGACGAGGAGAGAAGAGGCACCGACACGAGCTCGGCCACCGAGAAATGGGGTTTCTGTCTCATCCTACCCCTCTTTTTAACACTCAGCCCTCCTGGCTCCCTCCACCACGAGAAAAAAAAAAAAAAAAAAGCAATGTAAATGCAGTGGAATCTGCCAATTTTCTGCCTGTCAAAGCAGCACGGATCCACAGTCCTGCCGGGGTCTCTCGGAGGGGGGAGGATTTTAGGACATGGGAGACCTTTGGCTCCTCCTGATGTTTTTTGAATTCTAGATAAGGCTTTGGCAAGGAGACGCTGGGTGGGTTTCCAGTTCTCGGGAATTCCCATAAGGGATTTTTTTTCTAATTAAACGTCAGGGGAAAAAAAAAAAAAAAAACAAAACAAACAAAAAACCAAAACAAAACTACAACAAAAAACAAAACAAAACAAAACAAAAAAAAAAAAGAAAAAAAAAGCAAACAAAAAAAAACCCCAAAAAACAGTTGACACACCACCACCCCTGGAGGGAGCGAGAACAAGGGGTCACTGAGCAAAAACGTGCTGTGCGTGCATAATTTCCAGCAGTTTGATGAAATTTTGGGGGCGGGTTGGGCAGATGTCAGGGGTGGGGGGAAGAGCGAGAGGCCTGGGGAGGTGCGAGGGGACAGCCGGGGCCGCTGTGCGGGCAGCAGGATTTGTTCGCCCAAAGGCCTTTGCGATCGCGAAATAAAAGCAAGATGAAAGGCTGTCAGCAGGGAGGGCTGTGGGTCCTGCACCCATCGCAGCCTCCTCTGTGGGTCCTGCACCCATTGCAGCGTCTTCTGTGGGTCCTGCACCCATTGCAACATCCTCTGTGGGTCCAGCACCCATCACAACATCCTCTGAAGGTCCAGCACCCATCACAACGGCCCCTGTGGGTCCTGCACCCCTTGCACCATCCCCCATGGACCCTGCACCTATTGCACCATCCCCCATGAACCCTACACCCATTGCACCATCTCCTCTGGACCCCGCAGCTCTTGCACCATCTCCCGTGGACCCCGCACCCCTTGCAATATCCCCTGCAGATCCTGCACCCATCACAACGTCCCCCGTTGATCCCGTGCCTATTGCACCATCCCCTATGGACCCTGAACCCATCGTTCTGCCTCCTGCAGATCCTGCACCCACCACCAAGTCCACAGCGGATTTTTTTTTTTTTTTTTTTTTGCTTTTGCAAGGGAAACAGGGCAGGTGAAGGAAACCAGCTGCACATTTTCATGTCCTGGCTCCGCCACTTGGGCCAGAAACTCCAATTCTCGGGAACTCCAAGAGCAGTTTTGCAACCTGACCTCCTCGGGCCGTGCCAAGACCCAGCAGCCCCTACCCCATCCCCTTCCACAAGATTCTGCTGAATCGGCTGAAATCGGCCTGTTTCAGAGCCAGTTCCTTCTCCTGCTTCTCCTGTGAAGCTCTGCCAGGAGATTCTCAGGAAAATACAGATAAGCCCCATCTGGTTATAAAAAGGGAGATTTTGGGACCATCCCTGCGTGTTTTTTTCATCCATCTTCATACATCCATGGGCTTCGGGGAGAGGAAAGAGAGACGCTGAGGCAGAAAGGAGCCGGCGGGTAAGTGGTGTGGGATTGAGGTTTTATTTTGCCTTTTTTTTCTTTTTTTTTGCATTTTGCCTTGTCCTGTCCGGGTGTGAGCCCGGGTGGGCGCCACCTGAACAAAAGCAAAATGGTGTCGGTGACGTCTCCGCTCACCACACGGGAGCCCCAGGTGGGTTAAATTGACTGCAAAACTATATAAAACGCAGATTTTATTTTTTTCTTCCTCGTAAGGCCAGGTAGACCTGGTTTTGATGGAACCCGTTCCATAAATCCCCATTGGGCACCACGGCCTGGGTGTTAACCCCCACAGATGTTGAGTGACGATGGGGGACCAGCAGCTCTGAGAGCAAGGTGGGAGGAAGGCTCGGCCTTGCTATTTGGCCCCTTTTCGACCCAACTTTTGGTGATTTGAGGGGGCAGATTTCATCCTTGGGAGGCTTTGTGGAAGATTACCGGGAGGGTTTGATGGGAAGGGTGGGAGACCTTCGAGGTGGCGTCAGGAGGGGGTTTGGGGATTGTTGGGTTGGAGGAGGTGGCGAAGGGGTGACGCTGGGCCGAGGGGGTCGAGTAAGATTCAGCCCCAACCCAAAACGAGTTGCAAGAGGTTTCCACGGGGCCGAAAAAAGCCTTTTGGGACAATTTTGGGGCCAAGAGGGGATGCTGGAGACACCTGGGGCGCCTGTGAGCCCCAGCTGATCCCTGAGTGGCCTTTTTTTTTCGCAAAAAGAAAGCATTTTCATGGGGTTTGGTCGTTGTTTGTTTTCTTTCCCAGCGATGGCGACGAGCAGGACGCGGTGGCTCCCAATCTGCCTGGCGCTCTTCTGTGGTGAGCAGCAACCCAACCCCATTTCCTCCCCCCTCCTCCAAAAAATCGAATTTCCTGGGGTTAGGGATTATTTTAGGACTTTCTTCTGCAGCAAAAAGTCCTTATTCTCGGTTTCTTTATTTTTCAGAAAATCTGCCTTATTCCCTCATTTTCCCACAGCGAAAAGATCTTATTACGTCTTTGCCTCTTTACCAAAAATCTCTCACCCCCTGATTTTTTTTTTTTCACCAGAGTCCTTATCAGCAGCTTGCCTTTTTTTTTTTTTTTTTTTTTTGTTTAGCAGAGCCCTTATCACCTTTTTTCCCCCAGGAAAAAAAAAAAAAAAAAAGTCCTTATTTCCTCATTTTTTAAAGAAAATACTCTTGTTCCCTGTTTGCTGTGTGGGTTTCTTGAGGTAAAAAAAAAATAAAATATATATATATATATTACCGATTTCTTTTTTTTTAATCAGATAAAATAGCCGTTATACACAGAGGCTTTCTTTTAGGGTGACAAAAAGGCCTTATTGCCCCGCTTTTTTTTTAAAGAAAACTCCCTTTTATCACTTTTTATTTTAAGAAAAAAGTCCTTATTCCTTATTTACATGTGTAGTTACTTATCTGGTTCGTTTTTATCCTAGGAAAAAGTCTTTATTCCCTGTTTCTTTCAGAAAAAAAGCCCTTGCCATTTGTCTGTCTTTTCCACACCAAAAAGTCGTCACTATCTGTTTTCTTTCACTCAAATGCCCCTTTACCAGTAAATGCCCATTACCAGTTCTTTTTCACTAAAAAGCCCTTAATACCTTCCCCCCCTTCCCCCCCCCCCCCCCCCCCCCAGAAAAAAAAAGCCCTAATCACCATTTCCTTCTAGGAAAAAGATTTTATCACTTTAAAAAAACACAACAACCTGTTATTTCACTAACCTTCACCATCACCTGTTTATTTTTCAGAAAAAAACCCCTCTTACTAGCTACTTTTCTTTCAGAAAAAAAAGCCCTTATTACCTGGTTTTTTTTTCCAGAAAATTCTCATTATTCCCTGTTTTTCACCAAAGTGCCCTTTTCCCTTGCTTTTTCTAAGGAAAAAAAAAAAAAGCAAAACAAAACTCAAATTCCTGGTTTTACCAAAAAAGCCCTTATTACCTCTCTTTTTTTCTATAAAAAACCTTATCACCTGGCGTTTTTAGGGTTTTTGGGGTTGGGTTTTTTGTTAGCTAAAAGATCTCATCACCTCTTTAGGACTTTTTTCCCAATAGAAGCCCTGATTTCCTGTTTTTTTTTTTTTTTCACCAAAAAGTCCGTATTAGCTGTTTGCTCTTGAGCATAAAGTTCTTATTCCCATGTTTGTGGGATTCTTTTTTTTTAAGAAAAAAACATGTTCCCCTTGGTTTTGGTGTTTAAAAAAAAAAAAAAATTCTCACCTGTTCATGATACAAAATGCCATTTTTCCCTGTTGTTTGGGGGTTTTTATTATTAAAAAAAAAAAAAAAAAAAAAGCCTATATTACCTGTTTGGTTTGTATTTTTTTTTCCCTTTAAGAAGAAAATAGTTCATTTTAATCTGGTTTGGATTGAGGGCGGTGTCAAGAAAAAACCCTTAGTCCCTCATGGGTTTATAGCATTAAAAAACCTGTAATACCTGGGGGGTGTGTGTGTGTGTGTGTGTGTGGTATTTGGAGTTTCTTTCCCCCAGGAAACCAAACCAAACCAAACCACCTTATTATCTGTTTTATCAGAGAAAAATAAAAAAGCCTTATCACTTGTTCTTTATGCACACACACAAAAAAAATCCTATCACCTGTTTCTCACCAAAACCCTATTATCAGGTTTTTTTTTTTTTTCCTTTTCCTTTCAGAAAAAGCCCTTATTACTCACATTTTTTAAGAAAAGCCCTTAATTTTTTTTTTCTTGTTAACATCCACACACCTGGGTGGGTTTTTTTCTTAAAAAAGAAAGAAGAAAAATTTTAAAAGGCCTTATTACTTCTTTTTATTGTTTTTGTTTTTGTTTTTTTTTTTTAAAGAAAAATCCTTCCTACTTAGGAGGTTTTCATCAAGAAGTCTTTAAAACCAGCTTTGTTACCAACAAAATTCTATTATTCCTTCTATTTTCAGAAAAAGCCCATATTCCCCATTTTTTTCCAGCAAAAGATTCCTATTCTTATTTCCCGCCGCAACAAAAGTTCTTAGTTTTTTAAGACTGTGAGTTTCTGCAGCAAAAAAAAAGACCTATTTCCAGTGAAGTTTTTTTCAGGATTTTCTACTGCAATTTCTGCATCCCCAAAAACCTTTCTCTTTTTGTTTTTTCCTTCACAACTTTGTGCAGGTTTCTTCTAAAAATGCTCTTATACCTGATTTTTATTTTTCCAGCCTTTCTATTAGAATTTCTGCAATAAACCCCTTCTGTTATGTGCTTTAAAAAAAAACAACAAACAAACAAAAGAAACCCACAAAAAAAAGGACAAAACAAAAACCCCCAAACTCCAAAATTTCTATTGCAATTTCTGCAGCAAAAAGCTTTTCTTTCCCATTTTTATTTTTCAAGCCTTTCTAACCGCATGTTTCAGCAAGAAAAAAACCCATATTTATTCCTTAATTTCTAATTTTCATAAACTTCTACTGCAATTTTTGCAGGAAAATTTATTTCCTCATTTCTTCGAGCTTTCTACTGTGTGTTTCTGTGGAAAAAAAAAAAGGTGTTATTCCCTATTTTTTTCAGAACATTCTGCAGCTTTTTTTTTTCAACCAAACACCCTCATTCCTTGTTTGTTGCAGAACTTCGTGTTGCAAGTTTCTGCACCAAAAAAGAAGCAGCCTTATTTCTCAATTTTTAATTTTTTTTTTTTACAATAGAATTTTTACAGTAGAAATTACTGTCATTTCTGCAGCTGACAACAACAAAAAAAATAAAACAACAAAGACAAAAATCACCAAAAAAACACCATTTTCCCTGCTTTTCCCAGGTCTTTCCACCGCATCTTTCCGTGGCAAGGAATTCTTCACCGTCTTCCTGCAGAATTACGATGAATTCAGCCACCCCGACATCCACCTCCTCCTTACGGCTTACTTCAACTCCACCAAGGTGACGGTGAGAGCGCACGGCGGCACCTTCGCCAACAGCGTCATCCTTGGCAAAGACCAGTCGGTTTCTCTAGAGATCCCAGGCGACATGGAACTTGTCGGCAGCCAGATTTCGGATAAAGCCGTCTTGATTCAGTCCACCGAGGAGATCTCCGTGGTCTTCATCAGCTCCAAACGTCACACTGCGGGTGCCACCACCGTTTTGCCTGTGGATAAGTTGGGCAACAAATATTACGTGGTGACTCCAGAGGACATCAACCACGACTACTTGAAGGAGTTTGTTGTCGTGGCCGGGAAGTCACCGGCCACCGTTTCCATCAAGGTCTTGGGCAAGTTTTATTACGGAGGGAGGCATTACTTCCCTGGGTCCACCCTCCGCGTCTTCTTGGACCCCTACCACAGCTTCCAACTGCAAAGCAGAGATGATTTGTCCGGCACTAAGATCGTATCGGACAACAACGTGGCGGTCTTCAGTGGACACAGCTGTGTGAAGGTGAACGCAGGTTGCGATTATGTGGTTGAGCAGCTTCTGCCTGTCAGCGCGTGGGGGAAAACCTACATTGTCCCGCCCATCCCCTTGCAGACGAACATTGACTTTGTCTATGTTGTGGCAGACACAAAAGCCTCCCTGACCTACAACAGGGGTAATTCGGCTGCGACTGAAGACATTGAGGCCGAGGGGGTCCACAAGTTCGAGATGAGTGCCAATTTGCCTCTTCACCTGAGCTCGTCGGCTGCGATTCAGGTGGTTTTCTTCTTCACCGGTGCCAAGAAGAACCTGAAGGGCAAAGACCCCTTCCTACTCAACATCCCACCCGTCTCTGCCTACTGCACGTCCTACCGAGTCAGTAGTCCGTCTGGCTATGACAACTACATGAGCCTCATCTCCCGTAATGCGGACACCAGCACCATCACCCTCAACCAGAAGGTGGAGGGAACCATAGCTTGGCAAGCGATTCCCGGCACAGACTTCTCCTGGGCCCCCATCACCATGAACCAACCAGCAGAAATCCAGACCATTGAGCACGAGCATTCGCCCTTCGGGCTCCTGGTCTTTGGCTTCCGATATTATGTCGGTTATGGCTTCGCCGGTCTTTGTGCCACACGTAAGTAGGGCCAACACGTGGTTGCACCTTGCCGAAGGCGGGGTCTTCTCCATGGTCGCCGTTCATGGGGTTTTTTTCCCTTTTTCACCAGCTTCTAATCTGCTTTCCTGTGAAGACCTGGGATGCAAGGACAACTGCAGGGGGTCAGATGAGCAACCCGCATGCATGCAAGAAACCTTCTCAACCTGCTGGGTCTCCGGCGATCCCCACTACAAAACCTTTGATGGGAAAACCTTTGATTTCATGGGCACGTGCACCTACACCTTGACCAAGACCTGTGATTCCGATTCGACCCTGCCTGTCTTCAGAGTCGAGGCCAAAAACGAACACAGGGCTAACCAAAAAGTCTCCTGCATTGGCTCCCTGATCATCCGTGTCTACGACATCACTATCACTGTGGTCAGGGCCGAGAACGGGATCGTGAGGGTATGCAAAAGAAAATAATTATAAAATCCAAAGCAATGTTACGATATTTAATTGGAATAACACAATTAATGATGATCTTAAGGGACTTTTCCAGCCTAAACACTTCTATAATTTGCCACACACGAGTCGGTGATGCTACTGCACGGTCATCTCTTGCAAGAAGACATCTCTAAGCTAAAAACCTCAATTTTTTGCCCAATGCTTGATATTATTTGTTTGGTTTTCATGTTTTGTTTTTGGTTTTTTTGTTTTTTTTTTTTTTTCTCTTCCAGGTAAACAACCATCGCTCCCACCTCCCCATTTCCCTTGCCCAAGGGAAACTCCGCCTGCAGCAGCGGGGTAAGTCCGTGCTGATTCAAACCGACTTCAGGCTGAAGATCTTCTACGACTGGGACAACCACGTGGTGGTGAAGCTCCCCAGTACGCTCTCCGGCAAAGTGTGTGGGTTGTGTGGCAACAGCAACGGCAACCCCCAGGATGATTCCTTCATGTCTGATGGCAACCTGGCGGAGAACGCTGTGGAGCTGGGCCGGAGCTGGAAGGTGGCCAACGAGAGCCATCATTGCTGGGACACCTGCAACGGCGACTGTGGACGTTGCCAATGGGGTGAGGAGGCGAAATACAAGGGGGAGACGTCGTGCGGGTTGCTCACCCAACACCCAGGGCCCTTTGAGCGCTGCCACGCCACCATCAACCCTGACATCTACCTGAAAAACTGCATCTATGATCTCTGTGTGAACGACGGGGTCCACGTCATGCTATGCAAAGCGCTCAAAGCCTACGCAGATGACTGCCAGGAGGAGGGAATCACCATTTCTGACTGGAGGACACTGGCACGTTGTCGTGAGTAGCTCCTGGTTGGCAGAAAATCCTCCTGTTGGGTGGGCAGGGCGCTGTGACTTTAATTACGGTGCGTGTAATTAAGGGGTGATGGGATGGGAATGAGCAGAAAATAGGAATTAAATGGAAATTGCATCAACGGCGAGGTTTGATTCTCCTTTGCGCTCTTCATCTCCCTAGCCAGGTGAGGCCGGGTTGTATTGAATTAGGCTGCACAAAGGCAGGCCCAAAAGGGCTGTGGATCCCAAGCGAGGTCTGGAAAAGGTTATTGCAGTAAGTCCAAGCAGAAAGGTCCATGCAGACTCCATGGAGACTTTAGAAAGCCTGTGTAGAAAGTCCGGAAAGTCCATGCAGAAAGTCTGTGTAGAAACTCCAGAAAGTCCAAGTCCCAAAAGTCCAAGCAGAAAGTCTAGGTAGAAACTCCAGAAAGTCCAAGTCCCAGAATTCCAAGCAGAAAGTCCATCAAATCTGTGCAGACTCCCAAAATTCTCTGCTGAAAGTCCTGAAAGTCCATTCGGAAGGTCCAGAACATCCTTTGAGACTGAAAAGTCTCGCCTGAAAGTCCATGCAGGCTCCAGAATCATGTGCATGTGGAAGGTCCGGTGAGTCCACGGAGACTCCCAAAAGTCCATGTGGATAGTCCAGGAAGTCCATGCAGACTCCAGAAAGTACATCCAGAAGGTCCGTGCAGAAGATCTAGAAAGCCCATGAAAGTTTTCTTACCACTTTGCTGCACTTTCTTACGGTCAAGGAGCATCATCTCCACCATGACCATGGCGTCCCATCCCACTGTGACCACGGTGTCCCATCCCACTGTCACCATGGCATCCCATCCCACCGTGACCACGGTGCCCCATCCCACCGTGACTACAGTGTCCCATCCCACCGTGACCACGGTGTCCCATCCCACCATCACCACAGCGTCCCATCCCACCGTGACCATGGTGTCCCATCCCACCGTGACCATGGTGTCCTGTCTCTTTACCAGCTCTCTCCTGCCCGAAGAACAGCAATTACACCGCGTGTGGCACTGCCTGCCCCACCACCTGCAACACCGCCGCGATGCCCACTGACTGCGATGCCTCGGCCTGCGTGGAGACCTGCCAGTGCCACGAGGGCTTCGTGCTCGATGCCAACAAGTGCGTCCCCCAGGATGAGTGTGGCTGCGTCTTCGAGGGCCGCCTTCACGGCCTCCACGAGGAGTTCTGGGGCGACAGCACCTGCACCAAACGCTGCGTCTGCGACGAGGACCACCAAAGGGCCATATGCCAGTGGACCAGCTGCCATGCCGGGGAAGAGTGCCGGGTGGAGGACGGCATCCAGGGTTGTTATCCCAAGGCCTACGGGACCTGTGCGGCGGTTGGTGCCACCCACTACGAGAGCTTCGATGGTGGGAAGTTCATCTTCCAGGGCACGTGCATGTACCAGTTGGCTGGGTTGTGCAAGAAGAGAAAAGATCTGGTGGACTTCCAGGTGCTGGTGCAAAACGGGCGCCATGACAATGAACGTCTGTCCTCCATCGCTCTTGTGATGGTCAAAGTCTACGGCAAAAACATTGTAATCAGCCAGGAACACCCCAACAAAATCATGGTGAGTTTAGCAAATGTTTCTTTATCTAATCTCTATGTTCTTCACTTTCTGCTCCTCACCCCAACCTCCTTGGCCCATTTATTCTCTTCCACCTGCACTCCTCTGTAGGTTTTTTTCTGTATTGGGTAATGCTGAGTATTTGTCTCCAACCACGCAGCTGAGGTCCAAAGATACCAGGTCTGTCCCACGTTAATCAAGATAATATTTAACTGCCTAAATATAAGGATCACCACCTGAAGCAGAAGATTGGTGCGTGGTATAGGCTGTGGAGCCTCAGGCACTGTTCCCCTCTAAGTTGGTGGGCATCTATATTTGGGGCAGATGATTAAATCTCAAAAGTCTTCGTCTACATAATTTGGGTGCTTTGGCTGGAGATCAAGTTGCAGGTGGTGTGAAAACACAATTTGCCTTTACTGTTGGATAAAAATGTTGGGTTTTTTCCTTTGCTTTTGTCCCCAGATCAATGATCAGTTGGCTAATCTACCATATCATGGTGGAGATAGGAAGATCTTCATCTACAGAGGTGGGCAGGAAGCGGTGGTAGAGACCGACTTTGGCCTCACTGTCACCTATGACTGGCAAAGCCAAGTCACTGTCACAGTGCCCAGAACTTACGCAAACACACTGTGTGGCCTCTGTGGGAACTTCAACGGGAATGCAGGCGATGAGATGATGATGAAGAACGGCCAAGTGACAGCAAACCCAGACACCTTGGGGCACAGCTGGAAGGTGATGGACGTCCCGGGTTGCGTGGAGCTGTCAAAGGCGGAATGTCCTGCCATGGAGGCGGCTCTGCAGCACCAGAAGGCCTCAAAGATGGCTTGTGGGATCATGCTGCAAGTGGATGGACCCTTCGGAGCTTGCCATCATCATGTGGATGCCAGCAAATACTTCCAAAGCTGCGTGCATGAATTTTGCCTCTTCCCGGACCGGGAGGGGGTGATATGCCCAATCATCACCCGCTACGCCTCTGCCTGCCAGGCCGCTGGTGTGATCATCGGGAGATGGAGGACGAACAATTTCTGCAGTGAGTTGGGCTAATTGGAGGGGGTTTTTTGCTTCGTGAGGGGTCACGAGCATCAAAGGGAACCCCAATCCTGGGCCAAACCCATGTGGGGACAAACCAGAGGTGGGAATCATCTCACTCAGTGGTTCTTTATCCTGTCCAACGTCCGGGCTGGTCCCATCATCTCTGTTTACAGCCAATGCCCAGAAACAAAGCCTTCCGGGGAACAAGATGTCTCATCCGTCTATGACGGATTGAAGAATTTAGCCCCAATAAGCACCAATTTCTTTGCATTGGCTAAAACATGAGTGAGGGCTAATTGTCTGCATCACTTAGAGGGCAAATCACATGAGATGCACCAAAGCTACCTAAATTAGGGGAGAGTGACCAGACCTGGATGTTGACTGGGGACCCAACGTGGGAGCGATTCTGTTGCTTGAGGGAATGTTTCCTCTATGATAATGGGGAAAACCAGGTAATTCAGGGGCCTAAAATCGCCACCTCAGAAGTGTTGAAATGTCCCTTATGGACACCCCTTCCCTCATCATGTCCACAGTGGGGAAGAGAAGAGGTTGAACCATGAAGCATTTGGGTAAAAAAAAAATAACCAACTGGTGAACCTCGTCACCAGGCACCGTGTCCCTAATTGCAGGAAAATTGCAGGATCCGGCCTGTAATTTCCTTGCTCCTAACGAATCTCCTTGTCTTGTGGCAGGTATTTCATGTCCTGCAAACAGCCACTACGAGATCTGCTCCCAGAGCTGCAGCCACATCTGCAGCAGCATCTACACCCCAATAAAATGCTCACAGCAGTGCAGGGAGGGCTGCGTGTGCAACAAAGGCTTCGTGCTCAGCGGCGACGAGTGCGTCCCCATGTCGCAGTGCGGGTGCCTCAAACAGGACTTCTACTACAAGGCAGGGGAGACCTTCTATCCCACCAAGCAGGAGGAATGCCAGTGCCAGGCTGGCGGCACCGTGGCCTGCCAAAAAATTTCTTGCCCCGAAGGCAGCGAAGGCAAAGTCATCGATGGTGTCTTCCAATGCCAACCTGTGATGCCTAGGGCCTGCATGGCCACAGGCGACCGCAGCTATTTATCCTTTGATGGGATGGCCTTCAACATCCCGGGCACCTGCTCCTACATTCTCACCGAGACCTGCTCTGGGGACAACGTCAAACCATTTATTGTGAAAATCGAGAAGGAACCCCGGCAGAAGAGGAAGGTCTCCGGCATCCAAGCATTGTCCGTTGAAGTCTACGGGTTCACGGTGACCTTGACACGAAGCAAGAGAGGAGTTGTCATGGTAAGGCTGTTATTTTGTGCTCCACCTCTTTCTGGGGACAAACGTGCTGGGGACAAAGTCTACGGGCTCATGTGGACTTGGCCATGAGGCCGGAGGGACACAGCTGCAGTAGATCCACACGTGGTGGTCCACCTCTTTTAGGGTGCAACATGTTGGCTTCAAAGTCTATGGGTTCATGTTGGCCTCTAAACGAGGCAAGAGAGGGAACCAACCATGATGGTAAGTCTGTGCTTTGTGGTCCACCTCTGAGTGCAAACATTTTGGTGAAGCCGTCTACAGGCTCCTGTTGACCTTGGGGTGAGGCAAGAAGGGACCTGTCGTGGTGGAGGGTGAAGCACAGCTGTAGCTCTCTTTGGTTGCAAGCATGCTGGTGTCAAAGTCCACAGGCTCGCGTTGACCCTGGCGTGAAGCTGCATGGCCACTGTAAGGCCGTGTTTCAAAGGGCCACCTCTTTCCAGGTGTGAGCGTGGGAGCCCCAAACCTGTTTTTACTTGACGGAGGGGATGCCTCACCCCTATCTCCAAGACGAAGCCATTCTCATCCCTGATTTGTCTGCCAGTTTCAAAGGGGGAGCTTAAAAATTCATTAAAAGATTGGTTGGAAGGTGTTTCCCCCAATGTTTTTTGCTCCTTCCTCCATAGCCTTCTCCTGGTAGCGTCCTTTGAGGCTCACTGGAGGATTTTTCTCTCCCTGTCCCAGGTGGATTACGTATCCCACCACCTCCCAGTCATCCTGAAGAAGGGGCAGGTCCAGGTGCTCCAACACGGGCTGGGCGTCCTGCTTCAGACTGACTTCGGCCTCGTCGTACACTATGACCTCCTCCACCACGTGATGGTCACAGTCCCTCAGAGCTACCGGGGCCACCTCTGCGGGCTCTGCGGCAACTACAACGGGGAACGCAACGACGATTTCCTCCTCCCTGGTGGCCAACGGGCTGCCAACGCCCTGGCCTTTGGCTCTGCCTGGAAAATGCCGGGTGGGTCGTGCAGTGATGACTGCCCCGAGGCCGACTGCCCCATCTGCAAGGAGAAGAAGAAGGTCGTCCTCCAAAAACCCAACTACTGCGGCATCCTCAAGGTCTCCAAGGGCCCCTTCGACTCCTGCCACCACGTCATCAACCCCGCTCTGTATTTCGAAGCCTGCCTCCACGACCTCTGCCTCGCTGAAGGCGACACCCATGTCCTCTGCCAGAGCATCCAGAGCTACGCCACCGCGTGCCAAGAGGCCGGCGTCATCATCGGGGCTTGGAGGAAACCGTCCTTCTGCCGTAAGTTGGGGCTCACGGGTGGGAAACTTCCTCCACAGGCAGGAAATCGCATCTCGTTGGGATGAATTGAAAAATACGTGGGGCTTCACAATTTATTTCTAAAGGACGCTGGGGCTGGGTGTCTGTGCTGGCCGCCCTCGATGCATGAGGCGACGCAAGTGGTTCTGTTGGGTTGGGGAGGACGATGGTGGCGTGAAAATAATTGCACCCGGGGAAAACCACCGCGAGGGAGAGCATTTCCATTGGCGCTGGGGATGAGAAAAGCCACCGCAAGCACCAACCGGGAGTGTTTTCATCCGTGTTTTGGGCAAGGAGGAGAATCCAACGCAGGTGCCAAGCCAGAGGATTTTCATTGGCAGTCTGGGCACCAAACAGGTGCTGTTTTGTTGGTATGGGCTGAAAACAGGAAAAACCAATGCAAGCGCCAATGGGGTGAAGCTTCATGGACGCTGGGGGCAAATGGGACGTTCCAACCTTGAGAAAACTTCACCTGGTTGGTTCTTGCACTGGCTTTTCCCACTCGTCCCCAACACCAAGCGCCAACGTGTCGTATTTTTGTCAATGTTTGGGCTCTGCCGTCTCCCTGGGGTGCAACTCTGGGTTGGCACCGCTATTCCACCCAATGTTCAAGCTTGGGCTTCTCGTCTTTTTCCTTCCAGCCCTCTGCTGCCCGGCCAACAGCAGCTACTCCCTCTGCACCAACCTCTGCGTCCACAGTTGCACGGGGCTTGTCGATGCCTCCAAATGCCCTAAAACCTGCGTCGAAGGCTGCCGCTGCGAGAACGGGTACACCTTTGACGGGGAAAACTGCGTTCCCCGGGACAAATGCGGATGCTTTGTGGACGGGAAATATTACAAGGTGGTCGCTTCCTGAGTTTTGGATGGGGGTGTGTGTGGGGGGGTTAATAACATTTTCCTTCCACCCGCCTCGCCAGCGCGTTGCTCCAAAGGTGGCGCGTGCACAGCCCGAAGCACCTTGGAGGAAAAAAAAAAAAAAAACACCTCAGAATCTTCCATCTGTCGAGTGGTTCTGTGAAGAAAATTAGGACATTTCCATCTCTTATCGCTTGGCATAAAGGTGCTAGCACGGCTGTGGATACTCAGAGAGGAGCAGTGCTTTCCGCAGCTGAAAGCTCTAAATAATATTTTTCCTTCAGAGGAGGTGGAAGAGGGTGAAGGGATGGGGGTTTTTTGCATTTTTTTTTTTCCTTGCAACAAAAGCTATAAATTCCTCAGCAATTTTGCATTTTGCAAAGCCGCTTAATCTCTCTAATAGACCTGAATATATGATTTTTTTTTTTCCCCTCCCCTTCTACGTATTTTTATGCGTTCCTGCGTAGCGCAGCCTGCTCTTCTCATCACCACACTTTTCCACCTCTCGCCCTGCAGCCCCACGAGTCGGTCCTGAAGGAGAACTGCCAGCAGCGTTGCACGTGCGTCCCCGGCGAGGGCTTGACTTGCAGCAGCCACAGCTGCACCGACGATGAAACCTGTGAAGTCCGGGATGGGGCCTTGGGTTGCATCAATCAAAGTAAGGAAAATTGGGGTTGCTTGAGTGGAAAAAACAAACAAACAAATAAATAAATAAAAGGGAGGATCTCGGAGCCAGAGCAGACCCGGGGGGGGGGGAGGGTGTTTAATTTAGAGGTGCAGGCTGAGGTGCAAACCCTACGGCAAGATGAGGCCACAGGTCCCGTCTCCAACCCTAAGAGGCTCCAGGGATGTGGTGGGAGAATTTTGGAGGAGCAAAACGCTTCAAAAAAAGCCGCCCCTTGGCGTTGCATTCGCTCGCGGGTCTTGTTTTAACCATGCTGGCACCTTGAAGGATGGCTCTAATCTCGACACTTTTTTTCCAAGGAACAAGGGGGGAAAAAAGCTAGCAGAAAAGGGGGAATTTGGGTTTGGCGACGGATTGTTGTGCTCTGATTTACGTCTTGGAGCTGCCGAACTCCTGCCCAAGCCCGGCGGGGAGCAGAAGATGCTTGGTGGGACCTCAGCACCCTCCGAGGACCTTTGGTTTGCATGGCGGCCCCTCACCACGACATCTCCCCACGTTGCTCCCACGGTTTCGTTTCCTTCCAGATCCCTGCAAAGCCCTTCGGTGCCGGCCCAAGGAGAGGTGCGAGATGAAAGGCAGACAAGCCAAGTGCGTCCCATCGCAGGTTTCCACCTGCTGGGCTTGGGGGGACCCTCACTACAAAACCTTCGACGGGCTTAATTTCGACTTCCAAGGCACCTGCACTTACACCATGGCCGAATCCTGTGGGAACGACACCGCGCTGGTGCCCTTCAAGGTGGAAGGCAAGAACGACCTCCGCGGCGGCGTGAAATCCGTCTCCTACGTCAGCTTGGCCACCATCGAGGTCTACGGCCAACGCATCTCCATCCGCCGGAGGGAAGTGGGCAAAGTCAGGGTGAGTTGGCCGAAAACGGCGGGAAAATCGGCTTTTCCCCCGAGTCTTTTTTCGCCCACCTCTTCCCTACCTCCTTTTTGGCCCACCGTGTTCCTCCTCCGGCAGGGCCACCGTTATTTTCGGCTCAAGCCCTCCAAGGGGAATGGGGTTTTTTTGAAATTTTGGGCTCCACCGGGGATCTGCTGAGGGGGTTTTTTTGCCCCTTAGGGAAGCCAAAAGCACCAAAGGTGGCTCCAGCAGGTCTGCAAGAAACCTCAAAGCGGGTGGGACACCCCTTCCCGAGAGGTTTGCAGTGGCAGCCAGCATGGGCGAGTCGGGTGAGGCAAAAGCAAAGCCTGACCGAGGCAGAGATGGCAAAAAAAAAAGGAGGAATTTTGGATGCCCAGAGCATCTCAGCGGCCGCTGATTGAGTGTTGGCCCCACGTTTGGATGTTGCCAGGATGGCACGGAGCTGGCGGCGGTTGGTCGCACGCTCTAACGGGGCAGTGCAGCCACCGTGCGCTGCAGCCTGCACCGCACCTGCCATGGTGGTGGCTGCCTGTTGCAGAAACACCCCGGCAGGAACTGCAAGCTGTGGTGGGTGACTGCAGAGGCCTTGCGTGCCGCTGCAAAGCGACTGCACGGGGCTTCAAGCAATTGCACGCTGCTGCAAGCCCTTGCACGCCACTGCAAGGCAATTGCATGATGCTACAAGCCGTTGCACAGCACTGCAAGATCTTGCACAGCACTGCAAGGTGATTGCATGATGCTGCCAGCCCTTGCATGGTGCTACAACCCTTGCACACCTCTGTAAGGCGATTGCACAATGCTACAAGCCCTTGCACAATACTACAAAACCTTGCACAATGCTACAAGCCCTTGCACGGTGCTGCAAGGCCTTGCACGGTTCTGCAAGCCCTCACACGTGACTGCAGGGTGATTGCACGGTGCTGTAAGCCCTTGCACAGTGCTGCAAGCCTTTGCACAGTGCCACAATCCCTTGCACTGTGCTACAAGCCTTGCACGGCGCTGCAAGGCGATTGCATGGTGCTGCAAGCCCTTGCGCGCCACTGCAAGGGGATTGCACAGTGCTACAAGCCCTTCCACTATGCTACAAGCCCTTGCACAGTGCTACAAGCCCTTGCATGCCACTGCAAGGCAATTGCATGGTGCTGCAAGCCCTTGCACACCACTGCAAGGCGATTGCACAGTGCAGCAAGCCCTTGCACAGTGCTACAAGCCCTTGCACGGTGTTACAAGCCTTGCACGGCACTGCAAGGTGATTGCATGGTGCTCAAAGCCCTTTCACTGTGCTACAAGCCCTTGCACAGTGCTACAAGCCCTTGCAGAGCACTGCAAGGCAATTGCATAGTGCAGCAAGCCTTTGCACAGTGCAGCAAGCCTTTGCACAGTGCAGCAAGCCCTTGCACAGTGCTACAAGCCCTTGCATGGTGCTACAAGCCCTTGCACGGCACTGCAGGGCGACTGCACACCGCCGTGGGGGCAGGCACAGGCCGCAGCGAGGCAATCGCACACACGGCGCTCACCTCCGGTGTTCCCCGCCCGCAGGTGAACGGCGTGGTGACGCTGCTGCCGGTGAGCCTGGAGGCCGGGAGGGTGCAGCTCACGCAGAGCGGGCTCAGCGCCGTGCTGGAGACGGATTTCGGGCTCCGCGTGACCTACGACTGGATCTGGCACCTGCAAATCGACCTCCCTAGCAGCTACTACAAGCACACGTGCGGCCTCTGTGGCAATTTCAACCTCAAGCCCGAGGACGACGTCCCCCAGCATGGCACCGACGTCGCTGCTGTGGTGGCCTGGGCCGGCGGCTGGAAAATCCCCGAAGACGATGACCCATTTTGCTGGGATTATTGTGAAGGTGACTGCCCGGTGTGCGAGGAGGAGAAAAAGGAGCTCTACGGGGGCAACCAGTACTGTGGTCTGCTCAAAAAAACCTTCCAGGGGCCCTTCAAGGCTTGCCACGACGTCGTGAAGCCTCGGGAGTTCTACCGCAGCTGCCTCTACGACGTGTGCATGAGCGCCGGGGCGAAGAAAATCCTCTGCCAGGTGCTGGAGGCGTATGCAACCACCTGCAAGAAGCACGGGGCGGTGGTGCACGACTGGCGGACGCCGTCGGGGTGCCGTAAGCAATGGGTTTCCTGCTCGGGCGATGTGCTGGGGGGGGTTTTTTGCAAAAAAAAAAACCCAAGGGAATATTGAGCACGGGGGGGATGCATGGGAAAGCGCTCGGGGTTATTTGCAGAGGGTATGCTGCATGCAAAAAAAGCATTAGGTGCATGCACACGATGCAATATCCCTCTGCATGATGATGTGTGCAAAGTGCTTGGTAATGGCATGTGGTGCAATATCCCTCTGCGGGAAGGCGCATGCAAAGCACTTGGTGCAGTCACATGGTGCAATATCCCTCCGCAGGGCAGCACATGCAAAGTGCTCAGCGCACTCACACGGTGCAATATCGCTCCGCGGGGAGGCATGTGCAAAGCACTCAGTGCACGCACACGGTGCAATATCCCACGGCGGGACGGCGCGTGCAAAGTTCTTGGTGCACTCACAGGGTGCAATATCCCTGCACGGGGCATCACGTGCAAAGCACTCGGTGCAGGCACACGGTGCAATACCCCTCCATGGGGTGTTGCATGCCAAGCGCTCAGGGGCACGCACAGGGTGCAATATCCGTCTGCGGGGCAGCACGTGCAAAGCACTCAGTGCAGTCACGTGGTGCAACATCCCTCCCTGGAGCGGTGTGTGCAAAGCGCTCGGTGCATGCACAGGGTGCAATATCCCTCCACGGGGCAGCACGTGCAAAGCGCTCGATGCAGGCACGTGGTGCAATATCCCTCCCTGGAGCGGTGCGTGCAAAGTGCTCGGTGCACGCACGAGGTGCAATATCCCTCCACAGGGCAGCACGTGCAAAGCGCCCAGTGCAGGCACGCGGTGCAATACCCCTCCGCAGGGTGTTGCATGCCAAGCGCTCGGGGGCACGCCCAGGGTGCAATATCCCTCCGCGGGGCGCCGCGTGCAAACTGCTCGCCACACGAACTCTTTGCAATGCTCACGTGACGTTGCTGCAGCCTCCCCGCCTCTAATTGTCCCATTTTTCACACCCCCCACCCCCCACCCCCGCCCTCCAGCAGCGTTACCTTGCCCCGAAAACAGCCACTACGAAGCTTGCGGCAACGCCTGCCCGGCCACGTGCAGCAACCGGGACGCGCCGGCCTCCTGCAGCCAGCCTTGCGTGGAGACCTGCGCTTGCAACGAGGGCTACGTCCTCAGCGGCGGCCAGTGCGTGGCGGTGGCCAGCTGCGGCTGCACCCACGACGGTCGCTACTACAAGCCCGGTGAGGAGTTTTGGGCCGACGAGACCTGCCAGGCTCGCTGCAGGTGCGCCCCGGATTTGGGCATGGTGGTGTGCAAGGAAGCTGGCTGCAAGCGGGGCGAGCGGTGCGCCACGGTGAAGGGCGTGCGGCGGTGCGTGGCCAAGAGCCGCGCCGTCTGCGTGGCCACCGGCGACCCCCATTACACCACTTTCGACGGGCGCCGCTTCGATTTCATGGGCACCTGCGTCTACCAGTTGGCCGCCCTCTGCTCGGATGACCCCACGCTCGTCCCCTTCACCGTCACCGTGGAGAACAACAACCGCGGCAGCCGCGTGGTCTCCTACACTAAGGAGGTCACCTTAAAAGTCTACAACGTGACCCTCAGCCTCAGCCAGGAGCACCCCGAGAAGCTCAAGGTAGGGGAGAAGCAGGCGCCGGGGAGCTGCGAGGTCATTGCAAGGCATCTGGGTGGGCTGCCAGGTCTTTGTGAGGTGTTTTGGCGGGTTGCAAGGTCATTGCGTGGCAGCGGGTTGGGTTGCAAGGGTGTTGCATGGTGCCCTGCTGCTGCAAACCCATTGCAAGGCCCCTGGGTGGGTTGCAAGGTCATTAAGTGGCATTTGGTTGGGCTGCAAGGTCATTGCATGACATCGGGTTGGGTTGCAAGGTCGTTACATGACGTTTGGCTGAGTTGCAAGGTCGTTGCATGGTGCTTGGCTGGGTTGCAAGGTCATTGCATGGTGCCCTGCTGTTGCAAACCCATTGCAAGGCCTCCGGGTGGGTTGCAAAGTCATTATGTGACATTTGTTTGGGTTGCAAGGTCATTGCATGACATCTGGTGGGGTTGCAAGGTCATTGCATGATGCTCAGCTGGTTTGCAAGGTGGTTGCGTGACATTTGGCTGTGTTGCAAGGTCGTTGCATCGTGCCCAGCTGTTGCAAACCCATAGCAAGGCCCCTGGGTGGGTTGCAAGGTCATTAAGTGGCATTTGGTTGGGTTGCAAGGTCACTACATGACATTTGGGTGGGTTGCAGGGTCGTTGCATGGTGCTCGGCTGGCTTGCAATGTCGTTGTATGACATTTGGCTGAGTTGCAAGGTGGTTGTGTGACATTGGCCAGGTTTCAAGGTCATTGCATGGTGCCCTGCTGTTGCAAAACCCATTGCAAGGCCCCTGGGTGGGTTGCAAGGTCATTGCATGACATTTGGTTGGGTTGTAAAGTCATTACATGACATTTTGCCAGGTTGCAAGGTCATTGCATGGTGCTCAGCTGGTTTGAAACACTGTTTCATGGTGCTTGGATGGTTTGCAAGGTCATTGTATGACATCTGGCTGTGTTGCAAGGTCGTTCCATGGTGCCCTGCTGTTGCAAACCCATTGCAAGGCCCCTGGGTGGGTTGCAAGGTCATTGCATGGTGCTCAGCTGGTTTGCAAGATCGTTGCATGATCACTGGGTTGCAAGGTCATTGCATGTTGCCCTGCTGTTGCAAACCCATTTCAAGGTCCCTTGGTTGGTTCCAAGGTCAGTATATGACTTTGGGTTGGGTTGCAAGGTTGCTACATGACATTTGGCTGGGTTGCAAGGTCATTGCATGACATTTCGCTGGGTTGCAGGGTCATTGCATGGTGCCCTGCTGTTGCAAACCCACTGCAAGGCCTCTGGGTGGGTTGCAATGTCATTGCATGACATTGGGTTGGCTTGCAAGGTCGTTACATGACATTTGGCTGGTTTGCAAGGTAATTGTATGACGTCTGGCCAGGTTGCAAGGTCGTTGCATGGTGCTCAGCTGGTTTGCAAGGTCGTTGTATGACATTTGGCTGGGTTGCAAGGTGGTTGCGTGACATTATGCTGGGTTGCAAGGTCGTTACATGACATTTGGCTGGTTTGCAAGGTTGTTGTATGACGTCTGGCCAGGTTGCAAGGTCATTGCGTGACATTGGGTTGGGTTGCAAGGTGGTTGCCTGGTGCCCTGCTGGATTGCAAGCTCATTGTGTGCTGCTCAGGTGGGCCTGGTCGGTCCGCAAGGTTGTTGCTTGGCATCTGGGTGGATTTCAAGGTTGTATGGCCAATGGTTTTGCTGCAAGCTTGTTGCGGGGCATCTTGGGGGGGCTTCAAAGTTGCTTGAGTGGCCTCTTGGCCTTCAAAATCTTTGAGTGGCATCTCGGTGGGCTTCAAAAGTGGCGCCACGTCCTTCCAGGTCAACGGGATCCTGGTGGATCTGCCCTACGACCACGGCAAAAAGCTCCACGCCTACCGGAGCGGCGTCCACGGCTTCATCAAGACCGACTTCGAGGTCATTGTCACCTTCGACTGGCACAGCTACGCCAGGGTCATCCTCCCCAACACCTACTCGCGGGCCGTCTGCGGCCTGTGCGGCAACGCCGACGGCGACCCCCAGGACGACCTCAACTTGCGCAACGGGCAGCCGGCTGCCGACGAAATCCAGTTTGCCGATTCCTGGAAGGTGGCCGACGTCCCCGGTTGCTGGGCCGGTTGCACAGAGAATTGCAACGTTTGCACGGAAGCGGAGAAACGCGCCTACCGGGGCGACAAGCACTGCGGGCTCCTGGTGAAGAAGCAGGGACCCTTCGCCGCCTGCCACGGCAGCATCGACCCGACCCCCTACTTCAACGATTGTCTCTTCGACACCTGCCTCTACAAGGGGCATCAAGAAACCGTCTGCCACTCCATCAGCGCCTACGTCACCGCCTGCCAGAGCCAGGGCATCCGCATCCGGCAGTGGCGCACCGCCACCTTCTGCAGTACGTGGAGCTGGGGGGGGGGTGAGGGGGTGGGTGGTGTTCGGGGTGGGGTTGCAGGCGTGGAGGTGGTTGGGTTTGCGCTCAAAAATGCTTTTTTTTGCTTGCGTTGAGGGGCGGGGGCTTGCTTTTGCAGTTGCACAAAGGTCCTGGAGCTTGCATGCATGAAGGGCTTGCACCTGCACAGGCTTTGGAGATTGCACAAAGAGTTTGGGGCTTGCATGCATGAAGGATTTAGAGCTTGCATGCATGGTGGGCTTGCACCCACGCAGGCTTTCTAGCTTGCACGAAGGGCTTAGAGCTTGCATGCGTGAAAGGCTTGCACCCACGCAGGCTTTCTAGCTTGCACAAAGGGTTTGGGGCTTGCCTGCACTAATTACTTGGGGCTTGCATGCATGAAGACTTTTTAGTTTGCGCAAAGGGCTTGGTGCTTGCAGACACGAAGGCTTTCTAGGTTGCATGGTTGCCATTGGGCTTGCATGCACAAAGAGTTTGGGGGTCATGTGCATGAAGGGCTTGCACCCATGCAGGCTTTCTGGTTTGCACAAAGGGTTTGAGGCTTGCATGCACTAATTATTTGGGGTTTGCATGCATGAAGACTTCTCAGTTTGCATGGTTGCAGTTGGTCTTGCATGCAGGCAGAGTTTGGGGCTGGTGTTCATGAAGGGCTTGCACTCAGGAAGACTTTCTAGCTTGCACAAAGGGCTTGGAGCTTGCATGCATGAAGGGCTTGCACCCACACAGGCTTTCTAGCCTGCACAAAGAGTTGGGGGCTTGCACATACACAAAGGGCTTGGGAATTGCATGCAGGAAGGCTTTCTAGTTTGCACAGTTGAGGTTGAGCTTGCATGCACGAAGAGTGTGGGGCTCATGTGCATGACGGGCTTGCACCCACGCAGGCTTTCTGCTTTGCACAAAGGGTTTGGGGCTTGCCTGCACGAATTATTTGGTTCTTGCATGCGTGAAGACTTTCCTGTTTGCACAAAGGGCTTGGGGCTTGCACAGGCAAAGGCTTTCTGGTTTGCACTGAGGTTTTGGGACTTGCACGCACAAGTAGTTTGGGGTTTGCACGCACGACAGCTGTCAGGTTTGCATGAATCACTCGAGCCTTGCACGCAGCAAAGGCTTCATGAGGGGTTTGGGGCTTGCACCCACGGGGGGTTGGGCTTGCAAGCACGAAGGTTTCCTGGTTTGCACAGAGGGTTTGGGGCTTGCTAATCATTTGGGGATTGCACGGGCGAATCCTTTGGGGATTGCACAAGCGAATCATTTGGGAATTGCACAGGTGACTCATTTGGGGATTGCACGGGCGGATCATTTGGGGATTGCACGGGTGAATCATTTGGGGATTGCACATGCAACGGCTGGTTTGCATAAGGGGTTTTCATGCGCAGAGGCTATTTTGCACGGGGAGGGGGTTTCGGGCTTCCACGCACAAAGGTTTTGGCTGATGCAAACATCACCCCTGCTGATTTGTCTCTCCCCCTTCCCCAAAAAGGTCTCGTCTGCCCCCCGAACCAGCACTACGAGCTCTGCGGCCCGGCCTGCCCGGCCACGTGCCACGGCGAAACGGAAATGGAGGAATGCGAGAAAAACGCTCCCTGCACCGAAGGCTGCTTCTGCGACGCCGGCTTCCTGCAGAGCGGCGACCGCTGCGTCCCCTTGGCCCAGTGCGGCTGCTTGCACCAGGGCCGCTACTACAAGGCGGGCGAGACGTTTTACTCCTGCCCGCGGTGCACCGAGCTTTGCACTTGCAAAGGGCCCGGGGCGGTGGAGTGCCAGCCGGGGGGTTGCACGGCAGGCGAGGAGTGCACGGTGCAGGACGGGGTGCAGGGCTGCTACCCCCGCGAGTGCGGGCGCTGCGAGGTGCTGGGCGCGGCCACCTACCGCACCTTCGACGGGCACCTGCTGCGCTTTGCCGGGAGCTGCAGCTACACGCTGGCGGCCGTCGAGGCCGCCGGCCCCGAGGACCCGCTGGTGCCTTTCGCCGTGGAGGTGGAGAAGGAGAGCGGCGAGGAGGAGCCGCTCATCCGGCGGCTGCTGGTCACCGTGCACGGCGTCACCGTCGCCATGGCCAGGGGCACGGCCTGGGAGGTGACGGTGAGTGGCGCCCCTGCAAAAAATGGCTGTCGGGGCCGCGAGGCCTTGCATGCAAACCCGGCTCCGGGGTGCAAACCCTGCTTCGGGGTGCAGAGCAGGCTTTGCAAGCCCCACTTCGGGGTGCAAACCTTGATCTGGGGTGCAAATACAGATATGCAAGCCCTGCTGTGGGGGCTGATCTTTCGTTTTCGGTGCAAACCCCACTTCAGGGTGCAGAGCTGGATTTGCAAACCCCGCTTGGGGTGAAAATCTGACATGGGGGTGCAAATCCAGCCATGCAGGACCTGCTTTGGGGCGCAGATCTGGATTTGCAAACCCCATTTCAGGTTGCAAACCTGACATTGAGGTTGAAAGCTGGACATGCAAATTCTGCTTTGGGGTGCAAACCTGCTGTTGGGGTGCACATCAGGCTGTGCCAGCCCCACTTCAAGTTGCTAACCTGACATTGAGGTGCAAATCCAGCCATGCAAGCCCCGCTTTGGGGGCCAACCTCTGGTTTTGGTGTGCAAGCTCTGCTTCAGGGTGCAGAGCTGGATTTGCAAACGCAGTTTGGGGTGCAAATCTGACATGGGGGTGCAAATACAGCCATGCAAGCCCTGCTTTGGGGTGCAATCTCTGTTTTTTTGGTGTGAGCCCCGCTTCAGGGTGCAGAGCTGTATTTGCAAAACCCTATTTGGGGTGCAAACCTGACACTTGAGTGCAAATCCAGCCATGCAAGCCCCGCTTTGGGGTGCAAACCTGCTGTTGGGGTGCACATCAGACTGTGCCAGCCCCACTTCAGGTTGCAAACCTAATGTTGGTGTGCAAATCCAGCCATGCAAGCCCCGCTTTGGGGTGCAATCTCTGGTTTTGGGGTGCAAACCCTGCTTCAGGGTGCAGAGCTGGATTTGCAAACCCCTATTTGGGGTGTAAAGCTGACATTTGGGTGCAAATCCAGCCATGCAAGCCCCGCTTTGGGGTCCAATCTCCGTTTTTCAGTGCAAGCCCCGCTTCAGGGTGCAGAGCTGGATTTGCAAACCCCTATTTGGGGTGCAGACCTGACACTTGGATGCAAATCCAGCCATGCAAGCCCCGCTTTGGGGTCCAATCTCTGTTTTTCAGTGCAAGCCCCGCTTCGGGCTGCAGAGCTGGATTTGCAAACCCCCTATTTGGGGTTGCAAACTTGCCGTCGGGGCGCCGATCCCGCTTGGCTTTCTCACCCTTTTCCCCCTTCCCTCCCTCCCTCCCCGCAGGTGGACGGCGAGCAGCACCTCCTCCCGCTGACGCTGGCCCAGGGGGCCCTGACGGTGGCCCAGGAGGGTCCCCACCGGGTTCTCCAAGTCCGGGGGGGCCTCAAGCTCCTCTACGATGGCGTCTCCTACGCGGTGCTCACCCTCCCTTCGCCTTTCCACCGCCGCCCCCGCGGCCTCTGCGGCAACTTTGACGGCGACGCCGCCAACGACGCCGCCGCCCCCCCAGATTTAGGGGCGGCCTGGGGCACCCTCACCCCGACTTGCACCCACGACTCCCCCCACGCTCCCCCTCCCGTTTGCTCACCCTCCGAACAGCCGGAGCCCTGCGAGCTGCTGGCGGAGGCGACGGGGCCCTTCGCCGGGTGCCACGGGGTGCTGCCCCCCCGCGAGCACGTGGCGGGGTGCGCACGGGAGCGCTGCGGCCGCCCGGGGGCCGCCGGGCTCTGCCGTGGGTTGCAGGCTTACGCCACGGCGTGTCAAGCGGCTGGAGGGAGGCTGCAGGAGTGGCGGGAGGCGGCCGGCTGCCGTGAGTCCCCCCAAATTCAGGAGGGGGGGGAGGGGGGGGGGAAAGAGGGGAAGGTTGCGTGTTTGCATGCAGCGGGGTTGCGGTTCTGCAAGGGGCAAGCGGTTGCGTGCAGCAGGGTTGCAGTTTTGCAAAGGTTGCAAGAAGGAAAGAGGTTGCATGAAGCAGGGTTGAGTTTCTGCAAGAGGGAAGCGGTTGCACGCAGCTGATCTTTAGTTTTGCAAAGGTTGTAAGAAGGGCAGTGGTTGCGTGCAGCAGGGTTGAGGTTCTGCAAGAGGCAAGTGGCTGCCTCCAGTGGGGTTGAGTTTCTGCAAGAGGGAAGCGGTTGCATGCAGCTGATCTTTGGTTTTGCAGAGGTTGCAAGTGGGGCAGTAGTTGCATGCAGCAGGGTTGCGGTTCTGCAAGGGAGAATCAGTTGCATGCAGCAGGGTTGCAGTTTTGCAAAGGTTGCAAGAAGGAAAGAGGTTGCATTTCAGCAGGGTTGAGTTTCTGCAAGAGGGAAGCGGTTACATGCAGCTGATCTTTAGTTTTGCAAAGGTTGCAGGAAGGAAAGCTGTTACATGCAGCGGGGTTTCCTTTCTGCAAGAAGCACAATGGTTGCATGCAGCAGGGATGAGTTTCTACAAGGGGGAAGCAGTTGCATGCGGCCGATGGTTTTGCAAAGGTTGCAAGAAGGACAGCAGTTGCATGAAGCGGGGTTGCATTTCTGCAAGGAGGAAGTGTTTGCCTGCAGATGCTCTTGATTTGCAAAGGTTGCAGGGCGGGCAGCGATTGCATGCAGCTTTTTTTTTTTTTTTGCGAGGGGAAAGGAGCTGCATGGAGCCAGTTTTAAATCCCTGCAAGGGGGGGGAAGCAGTCGCAACCAGCGGCCGATTAGCCGTGCCAATGTGGGCGAGGCGGAAGGCCGTTGCATGCAAAATTTGGGTTTGCTTTGCAAGGGGAAAGCCGCTGCGGGCGTTTTGGAAGGGAGGAATTTTTTTTTTTTTTTTTTTTTTTTTTTTGCTGAGGGGGATTTTTTTTGGCCGGGGAAAGCCGCTGCGGGCATTTTGGAAGGGAAGGATTTTTATTTATTTTTTTTTTTTTGGCCGAGCGAAGCGCTCTGCATGCAGCGCTGTTGCAAAGCGTAAATATTGTGCAACTGCAAAGTGCCGCTTTTGTTTCCCCCTCCCCAGGGGGGATAAAGGAGGAAATTGAAGAGCAAATAATAACGCCGGTGCTTTTCTTCCCGCTTCCCCCCGCCAGCAGCCCTCGCCTGCCCCCCCAACAGCCACTACGAGCTCTGCACCCGCAGCTGCGACCACACTTGCGCCAGCCTCTCCGCCATCACCCCCTGCACCCACAAATGCTTCGAGGGCTGCCAGTGTGACGACGGCTTCTTCTTCGACAGCGACGAGTGCGTCCCGGCCGAGGCCTGCGGGTGCCTGCACCGCGGCCGCTACTTCAAGGTTTGTGGCGAGCGGCCTTGCAAAACGAGCGCCTCCGACAGCTTTTGCAAGAGCAAACCCCATGGCCCGCAGCATTTCTGTGCGCATTTGCCGTCCTTGCAAGGAGACGGCAGGCTGCACGCGGCGTTTCTTTCCCCCTGCACCTTTGCAAGGTGAAAACCCTTTGCACATCGTGTTTCTTCCCCGTTTTTGCAATCTTTACACGGAGGCCACAGGTTGCACACAGAGTTTCTTTGCCTCCTACAGTTTTTGCAAGAGCAAACCCCATTGCATGCAACATTTCTGTGCACATTTGCCATCCTTTCAGGGAGGACGTGGGTTGCAAGCAGCATTTCTTTACCTCCTGCACCTTTGCAAGGTGTAAACCCTTTGCACAGCATGTTTTTTCCCCATTTTTTCAATCTTTGCAACGAGGCCACAAGTTGCACATAGCGTCTTCACCTCCTACAGTTTTTGCAAAACCAAAATCCACTCCACGCAGCATTTCTGCACACATTCCCAGTCCTTGCAAGGAGGACATGGGTTGCACGCAGCGTTTCTTTACCTTCTGCACATTTGCAAGGTGAAACCCCTTTGCACTCAGTGTTTTTTCCCCATTTTTGCAATCTTTGCAAGGAGGATGCAGGTTGCACACAGCATTTCTTTAACCTCCTGCACCTTTGCAAGGGGAAAACGCTTTGCACGCTGTGTTTCTTCCCCATTTTTTCAATCTTTGCAAGGAGGCAGCGGGTTGCACATAGCGTCTTTACCTCCTACAGCTTTTGCAAAAGCAAAATCCACTCCACGCAGCATTTCTGCACACATTCCCAGTCCTTGCAGAGGCGGAGGGTTGCACGTGGCATTTCTTTACCTCCTACAGTTTTTGCAAGAGCAAACCCTTCTGCATGCAACATTTTTGTGCACATTTGCCATCCTTGCAAGGAGGATGTGGCTTGCACACAATGTTTCTTTACCTCCTGCACCTTTGCAAGGTGAAACCCCTTTGCACTCCATGTTTTTTCCCCATTTTTGCAATCTTTGCAAAGAGGCAGTGGGTTGCACGCAGCATTTCTTGACCCCCTGCAGTTTTTGCAAGAGCAAACCCCGTTACACTCAACCTTTCTGTGCGCATTTTCCATCCTTGCAAGGAGGCCACGGGTTGCACGCAGCATTCCTTTAACTTCCTGCACCTTTGCAAGGGGAACATGCTTTGCACTCAGCGTTTTTTTCCCCATTTTTGCAAGCTTTGCAAGGGGAATCCTCTCTTTATTGAGTGTCCCTGCCCCGCAGATCGCCGAGACCATCCTCTCCGCTGACTGCAGCGAGAGCTGCACGTGCCAGGCGGCCGGTGGCGTGCAGTGCCACCGGGCCGGGTGCCCCTTCGGCCAAGCGTGTGGCCTCAAAGACGGCGTCCGGGGCTGCGTGGAGCAACCGGGTCGCTGCACGTTGGCTCCCGCCTCCCGCTTCCTCTCCTTCGACGGGGCCACCGGCACCGCCACGGCCACCGGCATCTACGTGGTGGCCACCCTGTGCGACCCTCAGCACTCCGCCTGGTTCCGCCTCTTGGCTGATGTGGGGGAGAACCAGGACCAACCAGCTGTGGTAGCCCTTCACCTCTTCAGCTCCCGCGCCTTCGTCACCATCAAGAAGGACAGGAAGGTCTGGGTAGGTCGCCCCCACGTTGCTGCCACCGGCAAAGCCCCCTCCCTGCCTTTAATTGTAACCAAAATCCATGATTTCCCACCATTTTGCAACGCCCCGCCAGCGTCGTGCAAACAAAGCACCTGCAGGGGCTGTCCTCCGCCCCACCCTCACGTCCACACATTGGCCCAGCACTTCGTTTTGACCCAAAACCCCCTTTTTTTCCGCCAAATTCCGGCAAAAGAAGCACCCGCGTGGGGCGCCTCTCGGCCCGCTGCTGCCTTCGACTCCCCGTGAAGTTGCCCGACCCTCCACTTTGAGTGAAAGGGGCTTTTTTTCCCCCCTTCTTGGAGTCAAGAGAAGCTTGAGCAGGTGCCACCCTTCATCCCAGCGCTGTCGTGAAGATGTCCTCGTATTTGCCCATCCCTTCCTTTGAACCAAAATCGCCCTTTTCCCCCTCAATTCCTTGCAAAGGAGGCATTCCCGTGTGCTGCTCTTCGTTCCGCCATCGTCCAGAGATATCCACGCCTTCGTTTTGACCAAACCGGGCTTTTTTCCAGCCATTCCGTGCAAGTGAAGCGCCCCCGGGTGTTGTCCTCCATCCCGCCATCACCAAGAGAGCTCCGTGCAGCCGCTCACCCCTTTATATTGACCAAAATTGCCCTTTTTTTTTTCTGTAATTTAGTGTAAAGGAAGCACCCGTGGATGCCCTCCTTCACCTTAGCCCCATGGGGGGAGCCCAGGTCCCCATCCCACCTCCCACCCCCCAGGAACAAACCCCACGAGATCACCCCACGCCCCCACGTACCCCTCCCCGTGTCATGCCGTGTCTCCAGACCTAAACCAGAGGGATTTCACCCCGTTTTGAGCTCCACCACTACAGAGAAAGCTGGTGGCGGAGAAATGAGTTGGTTTCCTGGCTTTTTTTCACCCCCATTTTAAATTTCTTTCCAAGCGCGGAGCCATGCTCTCCCTGTCGATGTCTTCTCCAGGTCAATGGCGTCCCAGCCGCCCTCCCCGTGGACTTCTCCGGCGCGTTGACCGTCACCGAGACCCGCGGCACCATTTGGGTCACCCAAAAACCCGAATTCATCGTCGGCCTCAGCCCCGCCGGGGAGGTGACGGTGACGGTGGGCCGGGACCTGAGCAAGCAGCTCTGCGGGCTCTGCGGGAACTACGACGGGAACGCGGCCAACGACCTCCAAGGGCCCGACGGGAAATTGGTGGGCAACGCGGCGGCGCTGGCCAAGGCCTGGAGAGCCATCGACTTCTCCCACGTGAGTGTCCCCAGGAGGTGACAACAGGGGTCTTGTTTTGGGTGAGATTCATCTCTTTTCGTGTCCCAGCTCCGTCATGGCTCCGTCCCCGTGGGCTTTGGTGCCACCACCGGGAAGAAACATCCATCCATTGGTCCCATCCCCTCCTATTAACCAAAATTGCGCTCCCCCCCCTCCCCCAATTTCACTCAAAACACCCACATTTGTTGTCTTCATCATCAAGAGATGTCCACGCCTTGAACCGCTCCTTCGTTTTGACCAAACTGGGCTTTTTTCCAACCGTTTCACGCAAGGGAATCACCCACGGGGGTTGTCCTCCCTCCCACCATCATCAAGAGATCTTCAGCCATTCAGCCCCTCCCTTCAGATTAACTAAAATCACCTTTTTTTCCCCACCAATTTAACGCAAGAAAAGCCCCCACGGACGCCACCTTCATCCCACTGTCACTAAGAGTTTTTCACCTATTGTCCCATTTCTTGATTTTAACCAAAATCACCTTTTTTTCCGCCACTGTATCACAAGAGAAGCCCTCCACGGGTGGCATCCTTCATGTTAACCAAAATAGTCCTTTTTCCCCTCAAATCAGGCCCAAAATCACCCGCAAGGAACCGATGGGTTCGTCATTGGATGCTGTCATCATGTGTGGAGAAAGAGGGGGGAAAAAAAAACAAAAAAGGGCGGAGGGAAGGTGGGAAAAAGGGGGGGAAAAGCCACAGAGAAGGAAGAAAAGCTGCAAAAAAAGAGGAAAAAGCCACAAAAAAAGGGGGGAAAACCACACCAAAAAAAGGGGAAAAGCTGCAAAAAAGGGGGAAAGGCTGCAAAAAAGGGGGGGAACCCACAAAAAAAGGGGGGAAAACTGCAAAAAATGGGAAAAAATTGCAAATAAATGGGGGAAAGGCACAAATAAGGGGGAAAAGCTACAAAAAAGGGGGAAAAAGCTGCAAAAAAGGGGGAAAAGCTGCAAAAAAGGGGGAAAAGTTGCAAAAAAAAGGGAGATAATCCACAAAAAAAGGGGGGAAAACCACAAAAAAAAGGGGGGAAAACTGCAAAAAGGGGGGAAAACCACAAAACAAGGGAAAAGCTGCAAAAAGGGGGGAAACCACAAAACAAGGGGGAAAAGCTGCAAAAAAGGGGGAAAGGCTGCAAAAAAGGGGGAAAGGCTGCAAAAAAAGGGGGAAAACCACAAAAAAAGGGGGAAAAGTTGCAAAAAAGGGAGAAAAACTGCAAAAAAGGGGGAGAACCACAAAAAAAAAGGGGAAAAGCTGCAAAAAAGGGGGAGAAACACACAAAAAGGGGGGAAGCTGCAAAAAAGGGGTAGAGGCTGCAAAAAAGGGGGAAAAGTTGCAAAAGAAGGGGGAAAAGCTACAAAAAAGGGTGAAAAGTTGCAAAAAAAATGGGGGAAAAGCTGCAAAAAAAATGGAGAAAACCTGTAATAAAAGGGGGAAAACCTGCAAAAAGGGAGGGAAAGGCACAAAAAAGGAGGAAAAGCTGCAAAAGAATGGAGAAATCCACAAAAAAAAAACAGGGAAAAGCTCTCAAAAATGCGATTTGCCCTCAAAATAGGGGGATTAATGTCTTCTTTTCTATTTTTTTTTTTTTTTTTTTTTTTTTTTTTTGGCTCAGTGATGCCGAAAAACGACATTTTAAAGGCCTGGCAATGGGACACCGCTCCTCATCGCTGGGGTCATCGTGGCCAACCTGAAGCGTCGATGAAAAAAGGGACATTCCCCCTCCCCGCCCCCCCCTTCCCCCAGCCCCAAATTTGAGGTTTTTTTACGTGTGTGTGTGTGTGTGTGTGTGTGTCCCAAAAAAAAAATAAATTGTTGAAACCCGCACCCAGCCGTCGCTTTGCAACGAAATCAGCGCGATTTGGGGGGAAGCGAAGAGCGTGGGCGAGCGTCACAGGGAAGGGAGGGCCCTGGGGGGGTGGGGGGGGTCCCGGATGCGTGGGTCCCCGGGGGGGGGGACACGGGGGGGTGTTTCCCGGACGCCTGGGTCCCCTGCCAGCCCTGACGCGCCCCAGGCGGTTCTTGGCCCCCCCTGACCCGTTTCGGTCAATATTTTGCGTCACGGCCCTGTCCCCGTGCCCAGACACGGGTCGGGGGGGGTGTGTGTGGGGGGGTGTGGGTGTGGGGGGGGGGGCACCCGGATGCATGGGTCCCACGGGGGGGGGGGGGGGGGAGCAGGGAGGAGGCTCCCGGATGCCTGGAAGAGGAGGGGCGGGGGGGAGGTTGTTCTTGGGGTCCCCAGTGTCCCCCAGTCCCTCCCAGTGCATCCCCCCCGCCTCCCTGCTGTGCACCCCCTTCCCAGTGCAGCCCATTCCCCCCCCCCCCAGCGTGCCCCCCACCCCTCCTAAATGTGCCCCCCACCCCAGCGCATCCCAGTTCACCCCAGTGTATCCCTCCCATCCCTCCCAGTACATCCCTGCTCCTCCTGTGTCCCCATTTCTCCCCACATGTGCCCCCCCCCCCCCCAGTGCCTCCCAATCCATCCCAGTGCCACCCAGTGTCGTCACCCCCCTCCTCTTCCCCCCCTCAAGAGCCCACAGTCCACCCCAGTTCCCCCCAGTGACGGTGTGGGCAGAGGCGGAACTGCCCGAGGCCCTGGGAGGTGCCACCTGGGGGGGTCCATCCCCCCCCCCCCCCCCCCCACTGCCTGTCCCCAGCCCTGTCCCCTCCCTGGGGATAAAAATGGCTCTGGCCACACCGTGGGCACTGAGCGGCACCATGGGACCCCGGTGAGCACAGGGACACGGGGACACTGGGGACATGGAGGGGGGGGACAGGGGGATATGGGGGGACGTTGAGGGACAGGAGGATATGGGGTGAGGGGGGGGACATTGGGGACATTGAGGGGCATGGGGACATGGGGTGACATTGGGGGACGTGGGGATATGGGGGGGACATGGGGGACATTGAGGGGCATGGGGACATGGAGGACATTTGGGGACATGGGGGACATGAGGATATGGGGGAACATTGAGGGACATGGGGGACATGGGGTGTCATTGGGTGACATGGGGATATGGGTGACATGGGGGGACATGGGGGACATTGAAGGGCATGAGGACATGGAGGACATTGGGGGACATGGGGACATAGGGACATTGGGGGACATTAAGGGACATGGGAATATGAGGGACATGGGGGGACATGAGGGACATGGGGATATGGGGACATGGGGGGGACCTTGGGGACATTGAGGGGCATGGGGACATGGAGGACATTGGGGGACATGGAGGACATGAAGATATGGGGGACATGGGGGATATGGGGGATATGGGCCACATGGGGGGACATGGGGACATGGGGGGGGACATTGGGGACATTGAAGGACATGGGGACATGGAAGACATTGTGGGAAATAGGGACATAGGGACACGGGGGGACATGGGGACATAGGGACACGGGGGACATGGGGCACATGGGGGACATTAAGGGACATGGGGATATGAGGGACATGTGGGGACATGAGGGACATGGGGATATGGGGACATGGGGGGGACATTGGGGACATTGAGGGACATGGAGACATGGAAGACATTGGGGGACATGGGGATATGGGCAACATGGGGGGACATGGGGGCAACATTGAAGATTTTGAGGGGCATGGGGACATGGAGGACATTGGGGGACATGGGGGACATGAGGATATGGGGGACATGGGGGATATGGGCCACATGGGGGGACATGGGGACATGGGGGGGACATTAGGGACATTGAAGGGCATGGGGACATGGGGTGACATTGGGGGACATGGGGATATGGGGGACATGGGGGACATGAAGACATGGGGGGCATGGGGATATGGGGGGACATGGGGACATGGGGATATGGGGACGGGGGGGACCTTGGGGACTTTGAGGAACATGGGAACATGGAGGACATTTAGGGACATGGGGGACATGAGGATATGGGGGGACATGGAGGGACATGAGGGACATTGAGGGACATGGGGTGACATTGAGGGACATGGAGATATAGGGGGACATTGGGGGACATTGGCATCATTGAGGGATATGGGGGGACACGAGGGACATGAGGGACATTAGGGGACATGGGGATATGGGGGGACATTGAGGGACGTGGGGGACATTAGGGGACATGGGGGACAGTGAGATATGGGGTGCCATTAGGCAGCACAGGGGACATTGAGGGACATGGGGATGGGGGGGACACTGGAGGGCACTGGGGACATTTGGGGACATGGGGGGACACAGGGCCAAGGGACATGTGAGGACTCGGGGACACGCTTGTGGGGGGGACACAGAGAGGGACGCCCACGGGACGTGTGCGTGGGGACAGGGACACGCAGGGACACGCGGGGAAGGACAGGCAGAGGGACAGACAGGGGGACATGCTCGCAGGGGACACAGGGACAGGGACCCCCATGGAGCCAGGGACACACGTGACACGAGTGGGGACATGGATGGTGGGGATCCAGCTGCATGGGGCGAGAGGGACAGGCAGAGGGACACGTAAGGGACATGTGAGAGTGGGGACAGGGACACGCAGGGGACGTGTGGGCACGGGGACAGGGACACCTGTGGGATCTCTGTGGGGGACAGGGACAGGCGGGGGACAGAGACATGGGGACAGGGACATACAGGGGACATGTATATGGGGACAGGGACAGATATGGGAACAGGGACATCCATGGGGACAGTGACATGAAGAGGACATCTGGTGGGGACAGGGACACACAGGGGACATGTAGGCATGGGGACAAGGACAATCCTGGGGTCAGGGCCATGGGGACAGGGACATGGGGACAGGGACATCCATGGGGACAGGGACAGGCAGGGGACAGGGCCATGGGGACAGGGACAGACAGGGGACAGGGACAGATATGGGGACAGAGACAGGCAGGGGACATCTGGAGGGGGCAGGGACACGCAGGGGACATGGGGGCATAGGGACAAGGACACTCCTGGGGACAGGGACAGGCAGGGGACAGGGCCATGGGGACAGGGACACGGGGACAGGTACAGATATGGGGACAGGGACTGGCAGAGGACAGGGACATGGGGACAGGGACAGGCAGGGGACATGTATATGGGGACAGGGACAGGCATGGGGACAGGGACATGGGGACAGGGACATGGGGACAGGGACAGATATGGGGACAGGATCATCTATGGGGACAGGGACAGGAAGAGGACATCTGGAGGGGACCGGGACACACAGGGGACATGTGGGCATGGGGACAAGGACACTCATGGGGACAGGGACAGATATGGATACAGGGACTGGCAGGAGACAGGAACATGGGGACAGGGACATCCGTGGGGACAGGGACAGGCAGGGGACATCTGGAGGGGACAGGGACACACAGGGGACATGGGGGCATGGGGACAAGGACACTCCTGGGGCCAGGGCCAGGCAGGGGCCAGGGACAGACAGGGGACAGGGCCAGCAATGGGGACACCTGGAGGACACAGGGCCATGGGGACACGTGTCCATGGGGACAGGGAGGGGTGGAGGGACAGACGGACAGGGGGAGGGAGGGACAGAGGGATGGAAGGGTGAGGGGTGGACGGATGGAGGGAGGGAGGGAGGGGGGAGAGGGGTGGATGGAGGACAGATGGACGGACGGAGGGATGGACGGACGGATGGATGAAGGATGGACGGACAGACGGATGGATGAAGGATGGATGGATGGATGGATGGATGGATGGATGGATGGATGGATGGATGGATGGATGGATGGATGGATGGATGGATGGATGGATGGATGGATGGGTGGGTGGATGGATGGATGGAGAAACCATCAAGGAAGTTCTTCAACGCTTTCTCCATCCATCCAAGAAGCGTCAATGGATGGATGGAGAAACCAAAGAACTTCTCTGGTGGCCTCCTCACCCACTCGTCCCTGGAGATATGGATGGAGAAACCACTGAAGGTGGAGGGTTGGGTGGAGAAACCGTTGAAGAATGGATGGAGAAAATCATTGAGGAAGGAGAGAGGCGGATGGTTGGGTGGGTGGAAGGAGAAATAGGTGGACAGTTGGGTGGTTGGATCCCCAGAAGAAGGATGGATGATTAGGTGGACAAATCCAGGAGATCTTCAAGGGTTTCTCCATCCATCTGGTCATGGAGATGTGGATGGAGAAAGGTCTGGGGAGGGATGGGTGGATGGGTGGATGGATGGATGGATGGATGGATGGATGGATGGATGGATGGATGGATGGATGGATGGATGGATGAAGGACGGACAGACAGATGAAGGAGGGCCGAGTGCCCCTCACCCCCACCCCACCCCCTTCCCCCAGGCCTGGGCAGGTGAAGGCTCTGCCCGCGCTCCTCCTCCTCCTCCTCATCCCCACCGGTGACTGGGGACCCCTGGGGACCTGGGGGGCACCCACAAGAGCCTCGGGTGAGTGGGGACACATGGGGGGCACCCATGGAACCCCTGGGTGTGTGGGGACATTGTGGGGATGTGGGGGCACCCACAGGACCACCAGGTGAGTGGGGACCCCTGGGGACATGGGGGGCACCCATGGGACCCCTGGGTGAGTGGGGACATGTGGGGGGCACCCATGGGACCCCCAGTGGAGCAGGGACACCGTGGGAACGTGGCGGGCACCCACGCGAGCCTCAGGTGAGTGGAGACACATGGGGTGCACCCGTGGGACCCCTGGGTGAGTGGGGACACCGTGGGAGCATGGGGGGCACCCACAAGAGCCTCGGGTGAGTGGGGACACGTGGGGGGCACCCATGGGACCCCCGGGTGAGTGGGGACACATGGGGGGGCACCCACGGGACATGGAGGTCCTAGATGATCCCATGGGGTCCCAGTCCCATACTGGGGGACATCCCAGGGTGACCCCGAGGGTCTCAGCCCCATAGTGGGAGGTCCTAGTTTGACCCTGGGGGTCCCAGCCCCATAGTGGGGGGTCCCAGGGTGACCCTGGGGGTCCCAGCCCCATAGTGGGGGGTCCCAGGGTGACCCTGGGGCTCCCAGCCCCATACTGGGAGGTTCCCATACCCCTTTTGGGAGGTCCCACACTCATACTGGAAGGTCCCATAGCGACATGGGGGGGGGAGGAATAGTGTCTGGGCCACCATGGGGGTCCCACTCCACGGCGTGGAGGTTCCCCACTCCTCGCTGTGGGTCCCTGATGGGTGCCCCCCACCCCCCCCACCCCAGATGAGCTGCTCTACCCCTTCGGGTCAAGCGCAGGGGACAAGGCCACCCCCCGTGAAGACGACGGGATGAGCCCCAAGATCATCCTCGAGGAGACCTTCTCCTTCTATGGACAACCCCACCACTCCCTCTATGTGGGTCCCAGGGCATGATGGGGCAGGAGGGTGCTGTGGGGCAGGGTGCTCGGGGGGGCCCGGGCTGTGGACACTGTGGGTTGGAGACACCGTGGTTGGGTGACATCACGGGGTTGGAGGTGGCCTGGGCTGGGGACACCATGAGTTTGGGCCACTGTGGGTGAAGGCGTCATGGGTTGGACCAGTATGGGTGGAGATTCCCTGGGTGGGGGTCACCAGGGGTTGGGGGTCACCAGGGGTTGGGGGTCACCATGGGTTGAGTGCCACCATGGTTGGAGACCACCATAGTTGGTGAAACCATGGTTGGGGGCCACCAAAGTTGGATGTACCAGGCTTGGGGCTCCATGGGTAGGTGACATCACGGTTGGAGGCCACCATGGTTGGGGGTCAAGATGGTTGGGGCCACCATGGATCAGAGGATCCTGGCTGGGAGCCACCAGTTGGGAGCCGAGATGGTTGGGGGGTCACCGTGACTGGAGATATCACGACTGGGTTCGCCGTGGTTGAAGACACATCCCTGCCGGGGGCCACCCTGCTTGGTGCCACCACAGTTGAAGGCCACCACAGGTGACGGCCGCGCGCCAGGAGCGGGTCACTGTTGGGGGGGGTTCTGGTTGTCTCCTACAGGTCAACAACAACGGGGTGGTGTCGTTTGGGACAGGAGTCCCCGAATTCACCCCCCAGCCCTTCCCGCTGCCCGGCCACCGCCCCTTCGTGGCCCCATACTGGGCTGACGTGGACACCAGACTGGGAGGAGAAGTCTTCTACCGGCAGAGCCGGGAGCCGGAGCTGCTGGCCCGCCTGGCTCGTGACCTTGTCCCCGCGGTGGCCCCCTCTGACCCAGCCCCCCGGCCCACCTGGGCCTTCGTGGCCACCTGGCATCGCGTCTCCTTCTTCGGGGCCGCCTCCGACAAGGTGGGGGACAAAGGGGGTGCTCAACCATCTTTGATCCGCACCCCCTCAGCCTTGGTGGCCTCCAATCGCGGCGTCACCTCCCAAGGGGGCGGGGCACAGGGAATGGTGGGGGGGGGGGGGGACATGGGGAGGGGTCACAAGGTGGGATGGGGGGACATGGCGGGGGACACGGGGACAGTGAACGGGGAGGTGGGGTTGGGCCATGTTGTGCGGGACACGAGGAGACGGGGACACGGGGATGGAAAGAGAGAGCTGGGGGCCACAGCAATGGGGGGGGTCGTGGTGACGCGGTGACATGGTGACGCGGTGACACGGTGACATTCCTTCTTCCCCCCTCCCCCCCGCCCCGCCGCAGGTGAACACCTTCCAGGCCGTGTTGGCCACCGATGGGGCCACCTCCTTCGTCATGTTCAACTACGGTGACATCCAATGGACCACGGGCATCTCCAACGCCGGGGATGCCCACACCGGCCTGGGGGGCATCCCGGCCCAGGTGGGTGTTGGGGACACGGGGGACACCCCGGTGTTCCCCCCTGTCCCCGTGGGACAGGGGCCACCTGCCTGGGTGGGAGGAATTCAGAGAATTTACGATGAATTAAGAGGGTTTGGGGTGGGATTAAGGGGATTTGGGATGGAATTATGGAAATTTAGGACATATTAAGGGGATTCGTAGTGGGATTAAGGAGATTTGAACCTAATTAAGGGGTTTTGGGGTGGGATTAAGGGGATTTAGGCCAAATTAAGTGGCTTTGGGGTGGGATTAGGGGGATTTAGGACATATTAAGGGGATTCGGGGTGGGATTAAGGGGATTTAGGCCACATTAAGGGGATTAGGGGGTTTTAGGACATATTAAGGCAAATTGGGGTGGGATTAAGGGGGTTTGAACCAAATTAAGGGGTTTTGGGGTAGGATTAAGGAGATTTAGGACAAATTAAGGGGATTTGGGGTGGGATTAAGGGGATTTTGGCCAAATTGAGGAAATATGGGGTGAAATTAAGGGGATCTGGGCCAAATTAAGGGAATTTGAAGTGGAATTAAAGGAATTTGAGGTTAAATTAAGGGGGTTGGACTGATTTTAGATGGTTGGGGTGGTATTAAGGGGATTTGGGGTGGGATTAAAGGGATTTAGGGCAGAATTATGGAGTTTGGGCAGATTTAGGGGGATTTGGGGTTGTAATTGAGAGGCTTTCATCCAAATTAAGGGGTTTTGATGTGAAATTAAAGGGGTTTGGGGTGGAATGAAGGGAATTTGGGGTGAAATCAAGGGGATTTGGGGTGGAATTAAGGGGATTTGGGGTGCAATTAGGTTATTGGGGCAGAGTTAAGGGGATTTGGGGGGAAATCAAGGGGGTTTGGGGTGTAATGAAGGAGATTTGGGGAGGAATTAGGGGGTTTGGGCAGTGTTAAGTGAATCTGGGTTTAAATTAAGGGGATTTGGGCAGAGTTAATGGTATTTGTGGTGAAATCAAAGGGGTTTGGGGTGAAATCAAGTGGGTTTGGGGTGAAATCAAAGGTGGTTTGGGGTGAAATCAAGGGGGTTTGGGGTGAAATCAAGTGGTTTTGGGGTGAAATCAAAGGTGGTTTGGGGTGTAATGAAGGAGATTTGGGGAGGAATTAGGGGATTTGGGCAGTGTTAAGGGAATCTGGGTTTAAATTAAGGGGATTTGGGCAGAGTAAATGGTATTTGTGGTGAAATCAAGGGGGTTTGGGGTGAAATCAAGCGGGTTTGGGGTGGAATTAAGGGGGTTTGGGGTGGAATTAAGGGGGTATGGGGTGGGATTAAGGGGATTTGGGGTAAAATTAAGAGGATTGGGGAGGAATTAGGGGATTTGGTCAGAATTAAGGGGATTTGGGCAGGAATGAAGGGGATCGGGGCCAAAGTGAAGGGGATTGGGGCAGAACCACGGCTCCTTGGCCCCCGATGGCTTCTGCCCCCACCTCGTCCCCCCTCTGTCACCCCCCCCCTCCGTGTCCCCGACCCCCCCCCCCCCTCCTGACCCCCCCGCCTCCAGGCTGGGTTCAACAGCGGGGACGACATCCACTACTACAACATCCCGGGCTCGCGCTCGCCGGCGGTGCTGCGCATCGGCCACAAAAGCAACGTGGGGATCCCGGGGCGCTGGCTCTTCCGCGTGGACGAGTTCACCGTCACCGAGGGACCCCCCAGCCCCTCACTGCCCCCCGACACCCCCCCGCCGCCATCCCCCACCCCACGCACGACCACCGAGGAGAGGGTGTACATCTGCGAGTGGTGAGGGGCTGGCCTGGTCCTCCGGGGAGGGAGGGAGGGGGACAGGGACGACAACACCCGGACACCCATCAGTCGATCCGCTGAGGGTTTGGGGTTGGGGTGGGGCAGCTGGGGGGCACCCGGACGTTTGTGTCCCCTAAATTCCTTCCCTTCCCCCCCTCCCCCGTGCAGAAGGGCACATCACCACGGAGGACATGTTACCACGGAAACACCAATAAAGACACACACACACACACACCCCCCGTCAAGCACAACGTCTGTGCATGTGTACACACACACACATGTGAGGGGTGACACGCGTGTCATGTGGCCCCGGCACCGTGAAGGGGGGACATGGCGGAGGGGGGTGTGTGTGTGGGTGTGTGGGTGGGGAACAGGGAACGGTTGTCAGCGTCACCGTTGCAGCGTGGGGTGTCACCGCCTGGCGCCAACAGGCAGAGACATGCCGGAACACCCCCACACACCCCACACACACACACACCCCCCCTCGCACCAGTGTGCCATGGGCACGCACGGTTAACACCCGCTCTGCCAACTTCCTACACCCGGTGAACACCCGGCTCCTACGCTGTGCTACACTGGGAGGACACCCGGCTCGGGTGCCGCTGCGCCGCCGCACCAGACGACACCTGGCGAAGCGCCAGCTGGCACCCTGAGGGCATCGCGTTACATCCACGCAACACCTGGCGGGTGCTACACCCGGAGATCACCGTGGTACAGTGGTAATACCCAGCACCCAGCCCCTGCTACACCCAGAGAACACCCAGAACCCACCCCTGGGCTACACCCGGAGAACACCAGCACCCACCCATGGGCTACACCTGGTTGGTGTCTGGCACCCACCCTGTGCTATGGTGGTTACACCCGGCCCCCACCCTGTGCTATAGCCAGAGAACACCCGGCACCCACCCCTGGGCTACACCCTGTCGGTGCTTGGCACCCGCACTCCACTACAGCAGTTACACCCAGCACCCACCCCCTGCTACACCCAGAGAACACCCAGAACCCACCCCTGGGCTACACCCGGCTGCTGCCTGTCACCCGCACCGTGCTACAGCGCTTACACCCAGCCCCCAGCCCCTGCTACACCTGGAGAACACTCGGCACCCACCCCTGGGCTACACCCGGCTGCTGCCTGGCACCTGCACTGCGCTACAGTGCTTACACCCAGCACCCACCCCCTGCTACACCCAGAGAACACCTGGCACCCACCCCTGGGCTACACCTGGTTGGTGTCTGGCACCCACACCACCCTACAGCGCTTACAACCAGCACCCAGCCGCTGCTACACCCAGAGAACACCCAGCACCCACCCCTGGGCTACACCTGGTTTGTGTCTGGCACCCACCCCGTGCTATGGTAGTTACACCCAGCACCCACCCCCTGCTACACCCAGAGAACACTCGGCACCCACCCCTGGGCTACACCCGGCTGCTGCCTGGCACCCGCACCATCCGACGGCGGTTACACCCGACCCCACCCCCTGCTCCACTCGGCCCCCACCCCAGGAACTCCCCGTGGCCGTGGGGGGTGGACGCCTGAGTCCTGGGGGGGGGGGGTGTGTGTGGTGTGTCACACGGATGCAATGGGGGGGTTGGGCTGTAGTGGGGTTGCCAGGGGTGGTGGCAACACCCCGACGCTTGGGAAAAGCGTCACCCGCCCTGAGAGGGGACGTAAGGGTGACACCCCCCCCAGCCCACCCCACCCCACTCTGAGAACATCCTCAGTGGGTCCCTTGGGGGGCGACAGGGTAGGGCGTGGGTGGGGGGGGGGGCACCCACGGGGGATGCTGGGGGTGGGGTGACACCGTCCCCACCCTGGGAACAGCCTCAATGGGTCCCTTGTGAGGGGGATGGGGGGGGTCAGTGGGGTCAGGCGTGGGCGGGGGGGGGGCGGAAGGGGGGGCCCCCACGGGGGACGCAGGCGTCCGGGTGTGCGTGGGAGAACAAGGCCCCATTGAACCGGTCCAAGAGGCCCCAGGCGCACGGGTGGGGGAGGGGAAAGAGGCGGGTGGGGAGGGGTGGGGGAGGGGAGGACACAACCCCCATTGAACACCCACCGCCCCTGGGGAGCACCCACGGGGGGTGGGTGGCCCCTGTGGCCCCGCCCACGGCGAGGTGATGACCTCCCCCCCCCTCAGGTGTAGCCCCGCCCCCTCCTAGGTGTGGTTGTTGTTCCCCCCCACCCCAAAAAAATTCCTGGTTTGCTCATTGTTGACGTGGGAAGGTGAGTGGGGGCACCCCGCACGCGTGGGGGGGTCCCTTGGGTGGGTGGGGGGGTCCCCCAAGTTGGGGGGAGGTTCCTCGGGTGCCTGGGTGCCCTGAGTGGGGGTTCCCTGGGTGGGGGGTCCCTTGGGTGGGGGGTCCCGCGGATGCCTGGCTCCCCGCTGAGTGGGGGGTCCCACGGGTGGGAGGTCCTCTGGGTGGCGGGGTGCCCTGAGTGGGGGGGTTCCCTGGGGTGCGAGGGGTCCCCCAGACTCCTGAGTCCCCTGAGTGGGGGGTCCCATGGGTGGGGAGTTCCCACAGACTCCTGAATCCCCTGAGTGGGGAGTCCCACGGGTGGGGGCGTGTTTCCTGGATTCCTGGGTCCCCGGTTGGGGGGGGGTCCCCTAAATGGGTGGGTCCCTGAGTGGGAGGGGGGTTTCCCCGCGTGGGGGGTCCCCCAGATGGGGGGCTCTTTGAATACTTAGGTGCCCTGAGTGGGGTGTGGGGTTCCCCGCGTGGGGGTGGTGGTGGGGGGTCCCTCCTTGCGTGGGGCGGGGCCCTTGAACTGCGTAAGGGGGGGGGGGGACCCCCATGTCGTCTGTCCCGTCCCCACCCCCCATACCCCCCCCAAAAGGGCCCTCCCAGTAACGCCCCACTCAGGAATCTGCTGTGACTCACCCGCCCCTCCCCCACCCGGACGCCCGGGTCCACTGGGAGCGTGGGGGGAGGGGGGGGGGGCACACCCCCTCCCCCACTCTCACCACCACCCCCCATCCCCACCCCCCCCCCCCGGGTCCTCGAGGATTGACGTGTGTCCCCCCTCCCAGGGGTCAAAGGTCACAAGATGGTGGGGGGCGCCCTGAGGGTTCTGGTGTTGCTGGCAGGTACGGGGGGGGGGGGGGGGGGGGGGGGGGGGAGGGATTTGGGGGGACTTGGGGGAGAACTGGGGGAACTGGGAGGGAACTGGGAGGAATTGGGGGGGAATTGGGGGGATTTGGGGGAACTGGGAGCAATTGGGGAGGGACTGGGAGGGAACTGGGGGGGATTGGGGGGAGAACTGGGGGGGAATTGGGAGCAATTGGGGAGGAACTGGGGGGGAATTGGGGGATTTGGGGGAGAAACTGGGGGAACTGGGAGGGAATTGGGGGGGAATTGGGGGGATTTGGGGGAACTGGGAGTAAGTGGGGAGGGACTGGGAGGGAATTGGGGGAGAACTGGGGGAATTGGGGGGATTTGGGGAGGAACTGGGGGGGAATTGGGAGAGAACTGGGGGGGAATTGGGGGGATTTGGGGAGGAACTGGGGGGGAATTGGGGGGATTTGGGGAGGAACTGGGAGGGAATTGGGGGGGAATTGGGGGGATTTGGGGGAACTGGGAGTAAGTGGGGAGGGACTGGGAGGGAATTGGGGGAGAACTGGGGGAATTGGGGGGATTTGGGGAGGAACTGGGGGGGAATTGGGAGAGAACTGGGGGGAATTGGGAGCAATTGGGGAGGAACTGGGGGGGAATTGGGGGGATTTGGGGGAGAACTGGGGGAACTGGGAGTAAATAGGGGCAACTGGGGGGTCGTTGGGACAGAACTGGGGGAACTGGGGGGGAATTGGAGGGAGCTGGGAGGTGGAACTGGGAAAACTGGGAGAGAACGGGGAAACTGAGGGTAATTCGGGGGGAATTGGGGGGAACTGGGAGGGAACTGGGTTAAACTCGGAGGAAACTGGAGACGTTGGGGGGGAACTGGGGAGGAATTGTGGATACTGGGGGGGCCCTGGGGAGGAATTGGGAGGGAAGTGGGGAGGAATTTGGGGAAACTGGGAGGGGTTGGGGGGCAGCCGGGAGGTACTGGGGGGGAACTGGGGGGGAGTGGGAACGAGAGGGAGCCGGGAGGCGCTGGGGCGGTTGAGGCTCCCCGACTGGTTTTCCCCCCTCCAGTTTTGTCCCCCGTGAGAGGAAACCCTGTCCCCACTGGTGAGTGACGGGGACAAACTGGGAGGGGCTGGATGGGGCTGGGGGGGGGTCATGCTGGGGGTGGGGGGGTCATGATGGGGGTGGGGGGGTCATGCTGGGGGTGGGGGGGGTCATACTGGGGGTGGGGGGGTCATGCTGGGGGTGGGGGGGGGTCATATTGGGGGTGGAGGGGTCATGCTGGGGGTGGGGGGGGTCATACTGGGGGTGGAGGGGTCACGCTGGGGGTGTGGGGGTCATACTGGGGGGGGGTCATACTGGGGGTGGGGGGGTCATACTGGGGTTGGGGGGTCATACTGGGGGTGGGGGGGTGGACTGGGAGGAGCGGGGGGGGGTGGGTCTTAGGGGAGTGGGGGATACTGGGAGGGACACTGGGATACGGGGGGGGCCGTACTGGTGCCCCAGTCTGGGTGCTTCTGACTCCTCCTCCTCCCCACCAGATGTCACCAGTCCCTTCCAGTATGGTGAGTGGGAGGGGGGTGACAGGGGTGGCCCCAAAATGGGGGGCGGGAGGGGTGGCAGGGAGGTCCCCACAGGGGTGACAGGGGTGTCCCCAAAAGGGGGGGGGTGACAGGGGTGTCCCCAAAAGGGGAGGGGGTGGCACAGAGGTCCCCATGGGGGTGACAGGGGTGTCCCCACGGGGGTGAGAGGTGTGTCCCCAAAAGGGGGGGGGGGAGCTATCCCAGAGGTCCCCAAGGGGGTGGCAGGGGTGTCCCCAAAAGGTGGGGGGTGGCACAGAGGTCTCCAGGGGGGTGGCAGGGGTGTCCCCAAAAGGGGGGAGGGGTGGCACAGAGGTCCCCAAGGGGGTGACAGGGGTGTCCCCAAAAGGTGGGGGGTGGCACAGAGGTCTCCAGGGGGGTGGCAGGGGTGTCCCCAAAAGGGGGGGGTGTCCCAAAGGTCCCCAAGGGGGTGGCAGGGGTGTCCCCAAAAGGGGGGAGGGGTGGCACAGAGGTCCCCAAGGGGGTGACAGGGGTGTCCCCAAGATGGGGGGGGTGGCAGGGGTGTCCCCACAGGGGTGACAGGGGGTGTCCCCAAGGGGGGGGTGGTGGTGGTGTGTGTGACTGGGGTGTCCCCACTGTGTGCCCCCCCCCCAGACTGGTACAACCTGCGCGTGGCGGGGCTGGTGGTGGCCGCCGTCCTCTGTGTCATCGGCATCATCGTCCTGCTCAGTGAGTGTCACCCGGGGGGGTGTCCCCGTGTCACTTGGGGGGGGGGAGGGGGGGTTCCCATGTCCCCGGGGGGGTCCCCTGGGCTCAGTGTCCCCTGGGACACACACACAAACACACATACACACACACGTGTCGTGCGTGTCCCCAGCGTCTGTCACCTCTTGTGTCCCCTGCCAGGTGGGAAGTGCAAGTGCCGGAGCAAAGCCAGGTGGGACATGAGGGGACACTGGGGACATGGGGGGGGGTCGTGGAGGACATGGGGGCATGGAGAGGTTGGGGACATGGGGGACATGGGACGTGGGGGGACATGGGGAGTAATGGAGGACATGAGGACATGGGGACACATAGGGACATGGGGACACATGGGGGGTCATGGGGACATGGGGTGTAATGGAGGACACGGAGACATGGGGGGACATGGGACATGGGGGTCACAAAGGACATGGGGACATGGAGAGGTGGGGACATGAGGGTCATGGAGGACATGGGAAGGTGGGGACATGGGACAGGGATTGAGGACATGGGGACATGGAGGGGTGGGGACATGGGGACATGGGATGTAACTGGGGACATGGGGACACATGGGACATGGGCCAGGGGTCATGGAGGACATGGGGACATGGGACAGGGGGGACATGGGGACTTGGGGGGTCATGGAGGACATGGGGACATGGAGAGGTTGGGGACATGGGGGTCATGGAACGTGGGGACATGTGGAGAGTAATGGGGACATGGGGAGGTGGGGCCATGGGGCCATGGGGGGTCATGGGACATGGGGACATTGGGGTGTCACAGCCCCCCTGACCCCTCCCACCCCCACAGCCGTCGCCGTCCCCCTCCGGAGATGTCCCACCTCGTCGGGCCTGGTAAGTCCCCTCCCCGCCTTGGGGGACACACGTGTCACACGTGTCCGGGGAGGGGGGGATGGACACGGGGACAGCCGGGGGGGAGGGGACACTTGGGTGTCCGGGGAAGGGGGACATCTGGGCACCCCCTGACCCCCCTGTTTCTCCGCAGGAGCCGCCAGCACATGCTGAGGTGTCCCCAAGTGTCCCCAAGCCCAGAGGGGACCCAGGTGGCCCCAGTGACACGCAGAGGAGGGGAGAGGGTGGGGGAGGAGCGGGTTTATTTGGGGGGTGGTTTCACCCCCCCCCAAAAAAAAAAAAATTCCAAGAAAAGGGGAAATTAATAATAAAAAAAGGTTAAAAAAGGTAAATTTGGTTATTTGGGGGGGAAGGGGAGGGTCCCCTGTGGTGGCATCAGGGGGGACAGGGAGGGGACAGAAGGACAAGGGGCCAGTGGTGGCATTGGGGACGAGGCGCTGGGTGGGTGGTGGCACCCGGAGGTGAGAATGTGACGTGGGGGCCAAGGGTGACACTGGGTGGACGGTGGCCTTGGGGACATCAGGTAGATGGTGGCAGCGGGAGGTGCCACGGTGACGGTGGGGCCAGGGGTGGCACGGGACGACGGGTGACACCGGGACCAGTGTTGGGTGGCTGGGGACAGGAGTGCCGGCAAGATGCCGGGGACAATGAGGTGACATGGCAGCTGACGTCCCCACGTCCCCAGTGACCTGGTGGCCAGTGTCCCCACGTCCCTCAGGTGCCCAGGTCCGTTGGTGGCCCGCGTCCCTCGGGCACGGAGGGCCGCAGTGACGTGGTGGTTGATGTCCCCATGGCCCCAGGTGCCCACATCCATGGGGACGTGGCGAGCACATCCCCACGCCATCTACGGCGACACACTGGTCCGTGTCCCCACTGCCCTTTGCCACCCGGGGGCACCACGACCTGGCGACTTGCTGTCCCCATGTCCCTCAGGTGCCACGTCCGTGGCGATGTGACAGCTGGTGACCGTGTCCCTCAGGCGTCCGGGTCCAAAATGGCTGACCTCCCCATGTCTCAGGTCCATGATGAAGTGACAGTTGATGTCCCCATGTCCTTCAGGCCCCCGACGACGTGCGGTCCCACAGGTGACAGGTCCACCATGACGTCCCAGTTGATGTCCCCATGGCCCTCAAGCTCCACGCCGAGGAGATCTTCGATGTCCCTCAGACCCCCCAGCTCCACAATGACATGACGATGACCAATGTCCCCACGTCCTTCAGGTTTGATGTCCCCGTGTCCCTCGAGTGCCCAGCTCAATGACAGAACGGCCGATGTCCCCGTGTCCTTCAAGCGCTCACCTCCACCCTGAGATGTCGCCCGTCCCCTCGTCCCCAGCTCCGCGCCGGACGCGACACTTTGCCGTCCCTCGCGTCCCACCGCGCCGGGAGATTTGCCGTCCCTCAAGACCCCAAGTCGACGGTGACGTGCCGGTAGATCTGGGTGGCCCCTTTGAAGCTGGAGGCCACCAAAAAGTGACGGTGACCCAAGGAGAGGGGGGCGAAGGCACGCGGCGTGGGGGCCACCAACTCCTGGGTGGCCTCCAGGTGGCCACCGGGCCCGAGGCGGTAGACGCGGCTGGGGGCGTAGTCGTTGCCCAAGATCACGTAGCGTTGTCCGGCCAACGCCAACGGTTGGAAGACCAACGAGCCCCGCGCTGGTACCTGCTGCACCTCCCGGAACATGGAGCCTTCCCAACGCATCACCTGGCCGCAGAGAATCATGGGAAAGGTTGGGGTGGGTGGTGGCCGTCAAGGAGAAGGGTTGGCAGGGGTGGTGGGTGGCTTGAAAAGTTTTGTTGGGCTGCGAAGGTGGTGGGAAGGGTTGGGGTGGGTGGTGGACATCACGGGAAGGGTTGGGGTGGGTGGTGGACATCACGGGAAGGGTTGGGGTAGGTGGTGGGCTGCTGTAGGCCAGGAGCATCATGGGAAGGATTCATATGGGCATCATAAACAAGGGCTGGAGATGGACCCCCATGATTACGTGATGGAGATGGACACCCAGGGTCATATGAACTCCATGGGCATGTGCTGGTGATGGACCACCATGGACACATCATGGTCATAGACCCCAACGGACATGTGGTGACACCTCATGGACTCATGACGCTGGTGGCCCCCCACGAACACATGATGGTGACAGACCACAACGGCCATGCGATGGTCATGGACTCCCATGGACCCCCAATGCTGATGACCCCCCATGAACACGTGATGGTGATAGACCACCACGGACATGTGATGGTGATGGACCCCCATATAGACCTATGATTCTGGTGGCCCCCCACGAACACGTGATGGTCATAGACCCCAACAGACATGTGATCACACCTCATGGACTCATGACACTGATGGCCCCCCATGAACACGTCATGGTGACAGACCACAATGGCCATGCGATGGTCATGGACCCCCATTGATCCCCAATGCTGATGACCCCCCATGAACACGTGATGGTGATGGACTCCCAGGAACATGTGATGGTGATGGACCCACAATGCTGGTGGCCCCCCATGAGCACGTGATGGTCATAGACCCCAACAGACATGTGATGACACCCCATGGCCCCCCCCCCCCCCCCCAGCCCTGTGATGATGCTAGATGTGCCCCGCCCAGCCCCGCCCTCACCTTGGCATCCCCCAGGAAGCGGGTCAAGCAGAGGAAGACGTGACCCCGCAGCCGGAAGTGCTTCGCGGCGTAGACGTCGGGCACGTGGGGGATGTCGGTGTGGGGGGCGAAGGCCGCCCCGCTCCACCGGTAGACCAGGGGTCTCCGCGTGCCACTGCAGACCACCAAGGCCGGCCGCCCCCCCAGCTCCAGGAACTCCAGGTGGGTGTCACGGTGCCACGGCCGGAGGGCTTGGTGGGGGTAGAAGCCCCGTCCCCCCCCAACGGAAGAGGGTGCTGGTCCCCCCCTTGGAGCTATCGGCCACCCCAAGGTACCAGTGACCCCCGAGACGGGCGCTGGCCACCGCGTGGGGACGTCGCAGCCGGCCGCTCCCCAACGCCTGCAACCGGACGAAGCGGCTACCGGGGCCACCAGCCCGGCGCCAGACGGCCGAGCCCCCACCCAGTTGGGCCACCACCACCACCAACGCCCCCCCCAGCTGGAGGGGGTGGCAGGCCACCGGTGACGAGCCTGAGGGGACAAGGACGTGGGGGAGGTTAGGAAGGGGGGTGGGGGAGATGACTGGGGGGGGGGG